CACACTACTACTATAATGTGATAATTCATAGAATATTTTTGCCCATGAGGTCATCTTGACAAACTCTCCTATTACTGATATATGATACCCCTCCCCACCCCACGGAATGGGTAAACTATTTAAATTTGTAAACTGTGGGAAATAAAACCCCTTTTACATATTTCAACATCTTATCTCCATTTTTTTTTTGTTTTTGTCACTCCCACTTTTTTATTTTTTTACTGTCATTACAGCTTCTTTAAAGTTGAGTGCCCCTTGCCTTGTCCTATTGTCAGCTGTTGCAAATAAGGCATCTTAGTAAAGTTCTCAAGCTAAGCATGCATTGATTATTCGCTACAAATTCACTCAAAACAGTTAAAATTACATATTTTAAAAAATTATTTTGATTTTGGATAATGTGATATATTGCTAGATTAGGATGAGAAAGATATTAGATGAAGGCAATGAGAAGATGCTTTAAAATTTCTCCCTTTATTAATTTTCATTACAGAGAATCGATGGTCCAACATCTTTACTAATGAAAGAATCCCCCCCCCCACATCATTATCCACCACATCCAAATCTTTTTGGTCTAAGACAGTTTGAATTTTTCAGTTTATTTTGTAATTTTTATATTACTCATCAAGAATCAAGGAAAATCTTGTTTCATCAGAAATGACATTCTGGAAGAAATGAATCTGTGCAGCAGTCAATAAATTACATTCTTTCAGAAATGGTATATTTTGACAGTTGATGCTTTCTTGTACCAAATCCTACTGGAAATGGTACCTAGACTCTGTAAAGTTGAGCACAGTACTAGATTGTCAACAAAATCTCATCATTTTACAGTTGAAATAGCTTGATGTAACCATGCTAACAGTTTCTTTTCTTGTATTTCTCACTTGTGGAATTCTCTTTTGGCTGCTTGCTTTCCAGTCAAGTTTGATCTTATCTTCAAGAATTTAAATGCAGTGTCAATCATTATCTTCTGTCTTAATTTCTGTTCTTTTATTGTTCTTACTCTTTAATAATGTTTTCTTTTTCTTATATTTTTTTTCACACTCCGTAACCGTTTGCATCTTCATGGTTTGTTGACTTGCTTGAGATGAAATGATTAAAATATATATAGAGAGTTGGTTGGTTTGGCAATTTATGTTTTGGTATCGGTTCCTACTTTGTTTTCCTTGATACCATGGTTTTCGATTCGGTTTTTAATTTAGTATTTTTGCTTTCTAAGGAAGCCATTCATTTTCTTGTGTAATTATGGTATTTCCAGTCGATATCTAATTTCGTTTGAGATTGATAAATTTGCAACTTAGTCCGTTCAACTCACAATATCTCGTGTATTTATGGTCTAATCTTAAAAATATGCTGGAAAGAAAATAAAATAATCTTTCTAAATATGTAATTTGTACGTGCTTTTATTCATTGGATTATTTTTTTACAGCGAGTTAAAACTGTATTGCTTCAACCAGCTGAAAATGCGACATTTTTTTTCAAGACTAAATTTTACACGTTACATTTGTTTTGAAAAATCAAAGTGACCAATCTTTATCAATATTCTTGAAATTGTATACTCAATTAGAAGATACCTTAAACTACATTTCTTCTGACCTGAGGAAGCGAATTCATTTAAAAATTATAAAATAAGCAAAAAAAAAACAAAAAAACAGCAATTCTTTTCTGGTACACTAGTCAACTATTATTGGGGTTTTGCAAATAAATTTCTTCTAAACAAGGAAAATCAGTGAGTTATTTTTCCCTTTAATAAATTTATACTTTTCTAGCGAATACACCTAAAATTAAATATTATTTAAAAATAATCAAAAGCTTTTAATTTCATTTTTAAATGTGTAGATTTCCAAATCTGAATGGTGGTGAGTGAAAGATTAAATTTTTTTCAGCATTTTCTTGTTTGTTTTGAAATTATGTTATTCATTAAGTAAAAAAAATCTTCACATTTTAGTGCCAATTGCTTACTTCTTGTAATGAAAGCCATCAAACTTAAAATAGATTATCTTGCTCTAATTGATCCAAAAAGAAAAAAAAATCAAGTATGCTGCAAATGCTTAACCAACATGGGTACAAGCTGGAAGAAGCTGAATTTTGCACTCTTTGTTTAAATATTGAAAATTAAATTGCCTTCTAACTTTCACTTTCTTTCTAAACTATATTTAAAAACTATAATTTTGAAATGAAAATTTCACTGAAATATGTTGGAAGATTTCAAAGTTTTCATCTGAAATCAACAAAATATGAACTTTAAGCAAAATGGTCACAGTATATGGAAAAAGGTGTCAGCTTAAACAGACACCAGGAGGATATGAATTTGATGAATTTTGTTGATAAAAATATCCGAAATTAATCCATTTAAGTCCCTACAGAATTAAACTACATGAAAATGCCCTAAAAGTCAATCCTAATAAAAAATAAACTGTAATAGATTTTCAGTTAGTAAATAAAATTTCACACACACATACACCAAAAAAAATCCCAAAAAACAGATGATCAAATTCATTTTTTTCCACAAAGAAACCAGGACAAAGCAGAGTGAAATTATTACAGTAAATTTTGACAAAAATCTCAAGCTACAATATTATTATTATTTATTTTTTTATTTTTTTGCAAAAGAGGTAAAATCAACATTTTAATTTTTTTTTCTTAATTTATATGTATGGAAAATATAGCAGCAATAAAGAAACTAATGAAAGGAACATTTGATTCAGGCAACTGTTCACTACCAAAAAAAAAACAAAAAAACCTTAAGCAAGATAAAGTTTAAAAATTTGATCATGTGATCAGCTACTGGCAAAGATAAATGGTGTTGAGCTAAATATTCTTTTTGGTTTGAGTATAGGAACACTGAATATAAAATAAGTATCATGATGTGTAGTAGTATTCATAAGCTGCTCAGAATTGCTTCTCACCAAATCTCCCCCTCATGCTCTCATCCATATGCAAATGAACAAACTCTTACATATCATTGCAATAAGAAAGTGAGTAAAAAAGTTAAAATACATACATTATTATCTCGCAATCAGCTAATAAATAAATCTGAATTCTAGCTATTTGTGAATGTGTATTGACATCCAAAACAAGTTTGATAAACTGTCTTTTGGCTGGACTGCCAAACTTTTCTTTTCTTACTGGTTAGAAAAGTTGACTGACAAGATTCAAATCCTCTTTTTGCAGACAATTTATGCATGAAATAAATATTGTATTATCCTGTCAAATAGAAGGTAGAGGGATATATCAGTTATCTTTCTTAATTGTAAACGGCACCGAACCCATTTATACGGGTTCAAAAGGGGATATTTTTGGCCAAGCCTACGAGCTCGGACAACCCACGTTAAACTGACCTTGTGCCACATGCAACCCTCGTGGGGGGGAGGGTAGAGTAAATATACTAGCTGGAATCTATTCCAGCTGTGCTGTCGAACTCTCTGCTTTTGGGCAGTGAGGAACCCGAAGGGCAGAGTCTTGTCCAGGGAGGTAGACAGACCCGAACACTTTTGTGCGGGTTCTATGGAGATTTTTTGGCCGAGCCTGTGGGCTCAGGCACACCACATTAAATTCAGCCTTGTGCCACATGTGACTGCATGGGGCAGTTGCTAGATAGACTAGCTGGGATCTATTGAGTATGACTTGGACTTATGCAAGAACTACTGACCTAAAAATAGTGCTCACTACTAGATGGCCTTGTGTATAACTTACCTTTATTCTTATTTTACTGTTTTTTTTTTACAATAAACCTTTACTTATTTTATCTTCCTTGTTTTTCAAGTATATATTCCTATTAGCATGGAATATAACAGTTACAAAAATAGACAAACAAAAGAGTGACATAAAACAAGATAGAAATTTTTATTCTATCAGAAACATTTTCATGTAGAGAAAGTTTCAAAGATAATTCCTGAAAGAAAGTGAATTCAAGGAATGTTCTTAAGTGTCTCTGTAAGAAAAAAAAAAAATAAAAATAAAACTTGAACTTACTCTATTGGGCAATTAAAGATTAGTGTATTGTCTAAGCAATGTATGGCTACTACATGGAGTGCTAACTTTTAGTGTTCTATCTCAATTATTTGTTTTTGATCGATTTATACTTATCAATGCTCCAAGGGAATCATAAATTTAAACTATCTTTATGAAATTTACTACAATCAGTAAAGATATAAAAATAAAGAAAAGATTAAGGTATTGTGCAAAACATTTTTGTGGCACAATGGGTCTCCACATGATTGACTTGTCATACCCATGAAGTCAAATTTGATGTAAATAATCTTATTTGGGTCTGAAGTACTGGTGTTTTATGATGACTTCAAAGTAACCACCCACTGTCCACAAATCTGGAAAAGGAATTAAATAAATGCTAACTTTCTGGATCAAATGCCATTTGGCCACTTGAAAGTAAGGAATTCTAATCATGATATTGATATTTAGAAACAGTTGCAGTCAGAGATGGGGCAGAGAAGCAATTGGGGTTTTCACTGGCTGTAGGAAAAATCTGGTCTGTTTGTCTTGAGAGAAGACAGAAGTAACAACAATGATATCTCAAGTGTCACCTACCTACCTACCCAAAGATTGTGCCAGATGAATCCAGATTAATAAAGAACTGAGTATATATTGAAAACAGGATTTATGTTCTCTTTTTTCACCAAGACAATATTTTGCCTTTTTGCTCCTTTGTTGAACATACACCAGGCTTTTACCGGTTTTTGTTCACACTGATGCAAACCAGAAACAAAACATATTGTGGGGTGAAGATGTTTGGTTAGTGACAAAAAACAGACAAAGGGCCATTGTTTACATTTTTAAAATTTGAATTTTCAATTGAAAAAAAAATAAGGAAATTCAGTTATATAATATAATAAATACTAATTAGATAATTAGTTACAGGAAACAATTATTTTCTATTTATTTAAATTTCAGTTTTTCCCACTTCAATGATGGTACGAAAAGTCCTGATCATCTTTGCTCATGAAGAAAAAGAATCTTTGAATGCAACTCTGAAGAAACAGACAATGGAAGTGTTAGAAGAAATGGGTCATGAAGTGAAAGTTTCTGATCTGTATGCTCAAAATTTTGATCCTGTTATCAGACGGAAAGATTTTACAGGTATTCGATCTCTTATGAATCCTCTTCACCCAGAAATAATAAGAATACTCCCAAAATGACTTTCTTGTTGAATTAGGTTTCTTAATGCTCAGAAGATTGAAATGTACATCTAGGTGAACTGCAGATATACTTCTAAAGTGTTTCATGAAATGATTAATAGTCAAATCAGTTCAGTTTTTATAATTAAAGCTCATTTCTTAGTGTCTGGCAACTATAAAAACATGAATTTGATGCTTTTCTGTAATTCTAATGCTGAAGAGCTGCCCTCAATATTTTTTTTTTGAAGATGCCAAAAGGTTTGCATCAGAGGAAAAAGCATTCTTACTTGGAGCAAACTTTGTGATGATCATACTCCAAGATTCCTTCAGATGCCACAAAGGCTTCTTTAACAAAATTTAGAAAAATCTCTATCTGCAACTTTTCAAGGAAACCTGATATTTACAGAGAAGCATGGAAACAAACTGGCAATAAATTGAAGATTTCTGATTGGATGTGATGATGAATTGTAAGAGACACCATAAAAAAAATCAATCAAAAAATGTTCAGAAACAGTACAAAGAATAAGCGCAGCAAGTATTGGAATCTTCCATTGACAGCATGTTCACCAATCTCTCTTGTGTAGTACTGGTGTGAGCTAAGTTAAAATCATGTTTGTATTAATGCCACAAAGAAGCCAAATTCCAGTGGGCAGAGATTATTCTCAAACATCACTCTGATCTGTAAAATGTGATCTAAACAGATGAGAAATGTTTCAATTTTCATTGGCCTGAATACTACTGACTTTTTTTTTTTTTTTTGTATGATCTATGATGAGAAACATTGAAAAGGGTTGATCGTAGGTTGAGTGGTGAATTAGTTTGGGACGACTTTACTGCCTGTGGGCCACACTGTCTACTTACAGTTAATAGAACTTTGATGGCATTCACATAGCAAGAGATGTGAGAACTCAGCTTGATCCCAAAGCCAATGTTATATACTACATATGGTTACAAGAGTGACAAACAAAAACATGTATTGCTGGTGAGGCAGAAAGAAAAGGAGATAAGATATGTTAAAATAAAAATTATTTGGATTACCAGGATAGAGAGTCTCTTGTAGGTGAGTGAGGTAACATCAAGGAATCTGATCTTAAAGATGGGAGAGTTTATTGAAGCTTGCATCAGGTTGGTTTTGTTATACTCCATTTCAATTAAATCTCTTTCTGATTCACTCTGCATGTTGACCAGATGTGAAAGCTAAGAAAGCAAAAGAGAAAAGAAAAAAAAAACTCATTTTTTGTACAGGGGCTCCAAACATCGCATCCAGTTCACAAAACAAATTCCTGCAATAAAATACAATGGACATTCCCACTTAAAAGAAAGCCTCTTGTAAATGACCCACACAGTTGCAGGCTGAAAGTCCACCTGCTGCAGGTACACTTGCTGTCACTGTCACCATGATGATTATTTCTCTCATCATAACCTTGGCCTCACCAAGTTTCACTAATCTTGCCTGACTCTTCATATGCAGAATGTGGTTGATGAGCCAGCTCTGATACCACCACTGTGATTTTTAACACATCAATATTCAGCTCAAGGCCTTGTTCATTGTCATCACTGTGACCCCATCTCATTGATACCACGTTCTGCCAGAATTCAACAGACATTCCTCTCAATCAACTATCACTATTCACTCCAGACCTCCCTTGTTGACACCACTGTGACCCCATTCGTTGATCTCTGATTCATCCACAGTCCAACAGAGACTATCTACACCTAATCTCTTGTCACCACCGCTATGAGTTTGGCAGCCAACATACCTTACTATAAATCAACCCACAACTGTGACCTCAATTGACCAACCTGGCAACCCAACTTACCCGGCAGTTCGGCTTCAACATCTCAGCATCACATGACTGCCAATCCATCAAACACCTCACAGATGCCGATTTCAACCATTGACGAAGGGTGTGTGTCAAACCCCACCAAAGGCTAATCTGCTCAAGACCTCTCCTCTGACACCAATAATGACCTTGACCACCCAACCCGGTCCTTCTGATAACACCCTTATATCTAATTGCTTTCCTTACAACAGCAATTGAAGAACCACACGTGAAAATTTTTTTCAAATTTCAAACAACTACGTATATAATCTGAATTTTGACAAATACATGCAGTTGAAAATTTAATCCTTCTTTGTTCCTTTCCTTTGCAGCCAAATGCTGGATATAACAAGTGATGTCAGAAGCATGAAGCAAGGGCAATGGTTATAACAGTTTGATGTGAAGTGAATCAGAAAGAGGTCTAATTTGAAGCAGGATATAACACTAACGATAAATAAAGGAAAAAGATATTTTAGCAAGCTAAGTCGTCATTCTGTAAAGAAAACTGTTTCATACCTAAGTGATCACTTTCACCTGTGATACTGTGGGTTACCTTGTCTCAAGACCCTCAATCCTATAGAAAATGTTTGTACTCAATATTCCACTCAATATACACTCTCTAAATTGGCAAAGTCAGTGAAAAATCCAACTATTTAAGTTTTGAAAGCAAAAAGTGCAGCTTTATATTAAATGTTTTTCTGCTGAATAGTATTTTTTTAATAAAAAAATCTATTGCTTTTATTTACATTATTCGGATTATTGTCCTCATCTTTGTCGCCATATTTATCACAACATTTCGGCCGTTGTACACTCCGGCCTTCAGGTGGTTGGAATGTTGAATTGAACCCTTTATTTCGCTCACTGGAGTAGACTGTTCTAGTTTCACGTGCCATGTTTGATGGATGTCGGTTATCAGTTATCTCCTGTTAATTTCCCTCTGAAAGTTCTCCACTGCCTTAACCGGGTATTGAACTCACACTCTTTGGGTCCTGTCACTGGATCTAACCAACACCTTTATTCACTGTGCCATGCGCCTTGAGATAAATATAGCAACAAAGATGAGGACAATAGTCCAAATAATGTAAATAATGTACACAATACCTCATCTCAGAAATATAGACAGACTCTATTGCTTTTGTACTGATTTCATAATTACTGGACATCAGTGTTTTTATGTTTTTATAAAATAAAAAAAATGTGTCTCTTAAAATGAAGAATAAAGCTTAAATTTACAGAATGCAGAAAATATTTAAAAATAACTTCCAAATATTTTATAAAAATTTAAACTTGCTTTAAAACAAATTCCACTAAAATTTGTAAAACTTTGAAGTGTTTTTGTAATTTTTGGACAGTGTATATTGTCTTTCTCAAGATACATACAACTGATAATAACTTTTATTCTATGAATTTTCCCACTTGTATTTTCATTTTGTCCTGATAACTACAAACTGGACTGTACACTCTCTAACCTCCATGTATACTGTATTTTTTTAAAATCTTCAAGGAGATTTAAGTAGAATCCCTTGTCTCATTTACAACTTTTCTTCCTCTCATTTTAGGGGAATATATAGCAAACAAGATATGGGATCCTGTTCAAACTCCTTGAAGAGTAATATTTATTAAGTACAAATACCAGTTATAAATTTAATAATTGCAATAAAAACATGATAATCCAAATTCTTTTGGCCTTGTATTTAAATCTTTGTTTTTTTGCTGATAGATCTTACAGATGACACAAAACATATCAACTACAGCAGAGAAGCTGCCAAATGCTACAAGAAGAAAACTCTAGCTCCTTATATCATGGAGGAAATAGAAAAGATCTCTTGGGCAGATCTACTCTTCTTTCAATTCCCACTTTATTGGTACTCTCTGCCTGCCATCTTGAAAGGATGGATTGATAAAGTGTTGATTGAAGGATTTGCTTATGATTTTAATTGTGGTGCTGTCCTTGAAAATGGACTCCTAAAGGTATGTCAAAAGTTTTTTTTTTTTTTTAAATCACAGCATAAAAATAATTTTTTTTATTCCTCTTTGGCTGAGAATTTTTTCTAACCTAATTCCAGTTTTTCTTCCCTTTTCAGATTCTGATGTGTCCCTTTATGATCATCAATAACTATTCCAGATTGAAAATAATGGGAGCTATAGAAATTAGGATGAAAGAAATACTAGTCAAAAGATTAATAAAAATTGACAATGCTTTATGTAAGAAATTTGAATATTGTTACAAATAATTTGTTTACTCAAATTAGCTTCTTGGAAAATACATATACTAGTTAGATGGTGAAATAAGAAAAACTCTGGCCCAATCAAAAGATCCTTGCCCACCAATAAAAATCTGTTAAGTCATTTGGTTAGATTTTGGGAAATTAGTTGAGCAGAGAATGTTTTAGTACTCACTTGTATATAAAAAAAAAAAACAAGTGTCTACTGTTATATAATGCACTAAATAAGATATGTTTGTAGCATTCCTTACCCAAATATGATGAAAGCCTACTTAAATGCATGAGCATCTTGTGGAACCAAAAAGGACAAAACCTGTTATTATATATAATGGCAAAAGTATATTCCCAACATTAAAACATCATCATGATAAGCAATATTCTAGTATTTAAATAACTAATCAGAAATGGAGGAATTTTGTTGGATGCTGTAGCATTTTAAGGAAAGCATGTAAGGTATTTTCAATAAAAAAAATAACTATGATCCTTAATTTTCAGTAAGTTCATGAAAGAATGAAATTCCTTGTGCAAAGTAGCTTTTCTACTTTGTTATTCTTCTCTAATCAAATCTCTTTATTCTTACATTTTGCCCAATACTTGCTGGGGAAAAAAGTACTGAAAACGTTTTGGTGGCTAAATAACACTTGTATGAATATATTCTAGTTTGGGTATTGAAAGGCATAGTTCTTTCCCCCTATTCCAAAAAAAAATCATTAACACTCCATTAGCACAGTGGGGTGTTTGAGCGTCTTGCAAAATGTTTTTCTTTAGCATTTAAAAAGTGACAAGTCAAATTTCTGGAGTTTCAAGGAGTTTCTGATTTTAGATATTTGTGTGAATTACAAGCATCTGGCCATAAAATAAAAACATGTATGCAATGATCACAGTAACCTTGTTCATTGCTTGGAATATGGGGAAAAAACAGTTGAAGGAGTCGGGTTGATCATACATTGTTTTAAAATATAATACTGAAAATAAAATGAAACCTATTTTTGCATATTTGAATGTCTGAAAATTACAATTTCATTTTTTAATATTAGCCTTTTAAAATCATTTTTCAAAATAAAACTTTTTTGTTTGTATTTTTATCCTATCAAATCTAGAAAAAACACTCAAGACAATATATAATCAGATAAGGACTAAGTGATATACCTGTAATATTTTAAATGGTATGTTTAAAAGCATCATGGTACCAATGCTGTGTCAGTTCTAATAGAAGGTTAATAGTTTCATGGTTAGCAAGCAATTTTTAATAGTAGAGTAATTGCATTTTGAAAGAAAATAAAAACAGAAAGTATTACATATGCAGGACATAAGTACAAAGATAAGAAAAATATATGAATAGTATTTATGTCCTGATAAAAACCAGGATTTTGAATACTGATTTTCAAGGCAAGCACTCCCCCACTTAGAAGATGAGTGCAATATATTCTTCCCATCCCTCACTCAAACCTAATTTGATATTGTGCTAGATTAAAATAACTTTAGTAAATCTCTATACAAATAATTATGAATATTTTTTAAAGTCTTTTAATATATTTCACTATACTGCCAGTTATATTATTTATATTTTTTAAATTAGGTGATTCTCCAAATAGTTAATGAACAAATGAAAGTTCTTACCTCTTATTATATGAAGTTTCAGATATTTGTTAGACTAAAGCATTTTTTAACATAAGGATATGAAATATCCAGTGAAGTACAAATTAGCAAAGCCTGTATAAATATCATATTATAATTCTGCTTGTCCTCCTCTTAGTTAGTACAACCATTATGCCCTGCAAATACCTAATAAATAATGGACTATTCCATTTTGATCAAGTGGAAAAGCAAAAAAACATACCACTGATGCTACTTGTTTCCAGTGAGAAAATGAAAGAAAGAAAGAATGATAGAAGCGTCTAACATCTGTTTCAGTGAAATGAAAGAAGTTTTCAATTTCAAATCTTTTCATTTGTACCCCTTTATTTCTTAAAATAACAACCAGCATTCATACTTATGATTGTTATTGTAAGAATTTGTTAAAGTTAAGCTCAAATAATTAATAATACAGTAGGGGAATTTCTACAGGTATTTTATTTTCGTAGAACTTGCCATGGGCTTATTCAATGATTAACTTAAGAATTAAGTTAATGATTCAGAAAATTCAACTTAGAAAACTGAAATTTTCACAGGTCCTTCTAGTATTAAATATTTCATTATGGTAAATCCACTTATTTGTGATTTTTTTTTTTTTTTATATTTTTATTTCAGAACTAGAAAAATATTCCAAAGGGTAATAGTTACTTATAACAGGAGTGGGTTTGATCCTCACTGTGTGTTTCATACTTGTGGCCTTGTATCACATACCAAGCTATGGTTAGTAAATCAGGAAAAATATTCCAAATTAAAACATTGACATTTCTTCTCTATATAGGGTAAACGAGCAATGCTGTCAATAACAACTGGTGCTCAGAGATCAATGTATTCTCCAAAAGGGATTGCAGGTGACCTTAACATCAACTTATGGCCAATCCAGGTAAGAATCAGTCAATTATACATTTTATTGGTAATTACTGTTTGAATTTCTGTAATGAGGAGTTATTTACATTTGGACTAATTTTATTAGTAAACAAACCTCGACAAAAGATTTTTTTTAAAAATCATGATCAAGATCCTTAATTAAGATTTTATAATTTAAACATGGAGATATGGATAGTGTAGCAATTACAGTAGAAATTAAACATGCTGAGTTCAATTTCTGATTGATTCTGTTTTTTCATGCTAATGCTCTTGTGTAAAAGGCATAAATCCATCTTCCAGTTATGTATTAAATAGTAGATTAGACTGTGCTCTCTTTTGCTTTGAGGTGGTGACCAGTCTAGAAGAAGGAAAACTCTGAATTCAAAACCAGCCTAGAGAAGGATGAGCGATGTCAGGCTATATTGCCGTAGACACACTATTATTGCTATGGCTGCAGTACATGTGACCCTTAAGTACCCTAATGGGTTATGGGACTCATGACATGTTGAATTTAAACTTAAACTTTTCAATGAATAGGTAATTATTACAAATGTAATCCCTCACCTGGCAAGCTGGTCTCAAATCAAGAGGAAAGTAGCTCTAATTCTTGTAATAGTGGCCGTACTTCCACTTTTTTTTTTTTTTTTTTTAACAGTAACAAAAAATTCAATGGATAGAAGATGTAATTGAGATAAGTAAAAGAGTTTTTATTTCTCTGTGATTTACAAGGTTCAATCGTTTGCTCATTTCAAGGTATTGCATATCAGTTGTTGGAGACCGAGCTTTTGTTTGATGTATAACACAAGGTAGTTTAGTTGAGTGAAAGAAGTATTCCATGAATTATTGCATTGTAGTAGCCACAAGTTAGTCTCTGCTGCTGTGGTTTTTGTTACTAGCTGAAGGCATCACTGTTGATGGAAGCACCTTGGTGTCATTGGTGATGGCCTGGGCAGTCATGCAGTCTGCTGCTTCCAGTTGCCTGCATACTGTAGGCTTCTGTCACCAATGCCAGCCTGGCCAGATCTGCTTCTGTGGGTGAAATTAGTGTTGGTTTTATAGTGAGTCAGTGTCTCAGAAATGGCAGCTGCATAAGACCTTTTTTGATTGGTCAGAAATGATGGTTTATGACCCTAGTATTTTTGGGTGGTATTCTAGAAGTAGGTACATAAAGCTGAATGAAATTAAGCTCTGTTTTTGTCATATGAGGTGGGAACCTTGAAGTGAGCATTTCTGTTTGAGTTAAAGAATTGGAGTTCTGACAAGGTCAGGATCGCAATCATGAATCCCATAACTCTTTAGAGTCGTATGGGCACCACATATACAGCAGCTGTAGTAGAAGTCTTGGGCAAGATAGCCTGATGGAGCCCAACCATCACCAGGCTGGTTTGAATTCAGTTTTCTTTCTCCTAGACTGGTTGCCACTCAAGGCTATATAACCCAGTCTGTCCTGCTATTTACTCATAGCTTGAGGGAGAAGAGATGGATTAATACCATTCCCAAAGCTATTAGCATGCAAGTGAATGTAATGAACTTTAGTGATTCTTCAATCTGAGCTGCAATCCACCGTGTTTCCAGGGTATGACATAAACATTTATTCAAACAATTTCAGAAGTAATCACATTTTTTTTTGCATCCAAGAGAAAAGATTATATTAAAAATTGTATGTTCTAAACAGAACACAGTTAAAGATTTACGTTTTCTAATTTCAGTACACGTTGGGAATATGTGGTGTGGAAATGCTGAAGCCATATATTGTTCATGGTGCTCTGTATATAAATGAGGACACTATAAAAGGTGTTGAGGAAAACTTAAAAAAACGACTGACTGGAATATTTGAGGAAGAGCCAATGAAGTTTTTATCGCTAAAATCCTATGCTTTCCCTAAAGGAGAACTAACTGATGAATTCTTGGCTCAAGTTCAGGATAAAGCTCCTACTGTGGGACAACATATGGGCAAACCAATAATAAATACATAATGATATAAAAGCAAGAGAGTAAAGTCATTGTTAGTTTTTTGATATTTGTTGGAAGATACCATCATTAGCACAAAGTCATGTTAATTGAGCATGCAATGAGAAACATTACATTGTTAATGGTTTCAAAACTCACTTTATAACTTCTGTACTGGAGTAGATGATATATTTGTTTTTCAAGTTTCATTACAATACTTTTTTATCAAAAATTTTTTTTTAATAGAAATAAAAAAAAAATGAATTCTGAATTGTTTTTAAAAAATATCAAAAAAGAATAAAAAACATTATTCACATATTGGGTTGTCATATAAATTAAAGTTTTTTTAAAAATATATTTTAATGCTATTATTTATCACTAATTTTAACAAATCTGTCAACAATATAAAAAGGTTGTAGAGAAAGAATAGTTAGAAAAAACTAAAAAACACTATGGTAAAATTACTTTAATTCAAATGACATTGGAGAAAACAAATGAATTTATCTGACAACCTAATACATGGAACTTTTTAAAAAAAAATATTTTTTCCTCTTTTTCTGAAGAATGAACAATGAATGAATGCAGAAACAATGTCAGGTATAAATATTGAGACAAAATTTGGTCTCATTTATTCAGTAATTTAAATGTCAGAAATTTAACTTCTAAGAAGAGATTTTCTTTTTATCCCTGTTTTCATTGAAACTAATTTTGGTCTCATATTCATACAATAATTTGAATTATCAGAATTTTAACTTTTAGGAAGATATTTCTTTGTATTCCTGTTTTCATTCAGTCTTAATTAGTTTTGTGTTAGAGGCAATATGTGATAGTAAATTTGTTAAGGTATATATTTTTCATTTAAATTCTATTGAATAATGAAACTTAATTTAAAATGAAGGTTTAAATATATGAAGGTGTTTTTAAACTAGCTTATTTAAAAAAAAAATTTGATAAGCTAATTATTTGCAGACTATACAAATTAAAAATTTTCCAAAAATATGATTTTTGTATTTCAATACATAACCTCTTGGTAGCTGAACAGTGCATTGTAGCCAGAGGTATTGCATCAAATTATTGTGAAAAAAATAAATCTAGGTGATTTTGAAATTGAATGATATAGAATTGGCATTCAGGCTCAATTAACAAAGCTAAGATTTTTTTCCCATAATGTTAGCAATTAAATGCTACTTATAGAGTACTATTCCTTATTTATTTGCATATGACTAAAAAGAAACCTGGGTGCCAAAATAAACATTGTTCTCCTTTTACTATAATACACAGATGATAGTGTAATCTGAGAGAGCAAATTCTTTTTTATTTTTTTTCATCATAAATTTCTCTCAAAAGAGACCTTATAAGTCAGTTATCTACTAAGTTTTAATTTCCAATTATATTTTAAGCTTAAGATCAAATATATAATGAAAATTTAAAAGCAAGGTTTCTAAAAGCAATTTTTATAGTGATTGTGAGACAGTTGGAAGAGCTGATGTAAAAAGAATTATTGTATTTTAAAAAAATGGACAAATCTAGGGCTTTCTTCTTTTACTTTGATGTTGTCAGAAGTGGGATGAAATCCAAGTTTTTGCAGCAGCAAGAAATTTCAATGACAATTGTCTGTTAGAACAAAAAAATCTTTTACTTAAAATGTGTTGAAGATGGATCAAACTGGCTGATTTTGGATCAAACTGGCTGATTTTCTAGGTTACCAAAAGGAAACGGTGGGAAAGCCTCAGATTGTACTTATTTGAAATTTTTATTTATTCCTGCCAGAAAATCCATATGCACAGAGACCAAATTTTATCAGTTTTATTTTATCATTTGAGGTTTTCATATCTAGCTGCTGCTTCAGCCACACTGCACATTTTGTATTATGAGTGTATGTATATAGTGGTAATTCACTATAGATGTAAAACTTAAAATATGGGCAAGAGCTGCACAGTCTTCACTTTCCAGTTTCAACAGAGTCCAAAAGCATCCCTGTGGGGGACAAATTATTTTCCAGCCTCCTGCCTCTTTCTGACAGAAAATGTCTCAAAACTCTCACTGTTCTATTGCTATTTTCATGGTAAGTGTTCAGATGAACTACATTCTTTAGTCCCACCAGTTCTAACCTTCACAACTCAGACATGCCATGCCAAACACATTGTAGCAAACCACCCTCATTCCCTTTCCATTCCATTCAAGCAGTTTCTACCCATTAACTACTGTGTTGTGGAACTGACTCTGAAGAGGATGCTTCCCAATCACTACAATCTTAACCTGTTCAAAGTTAGAGATGACTGTTATCTTCCCCCATATCTCTAAACTGTGCCTCTTACTCAGTAATCTTCTAGTTCGAGTGGCTCTTGGGCCTTGTACTAAGTGAACATCATTGTACAGAAAAAAAAAGATTTACCAGATGATATAAACTTAGATCATTTCACTCTTTTACCCACACATATTCCATTTATTGAATTTTTTATTAGACACTTACCTTTGAAAACTATTTTTTCTTTCATATCCCTAAAAAATGCCTGGCTTATTTACGGATGGTATACTATCTCTACTCAGTATTTGTGCAATTTGCCTACAATCAAAGTGTTACTCCTTGGCACTTTTACTGAGGATCAGGGTAGTATGGATTTTATAAAAGTTGGTCATATTTTATTATAAAACCAACTTTTATGAAATCTATACTTAAAGAATCTAACACCAGACTACCCACAACAATAACTGGTGTAATCTAAATTCTTTCAAGCCCATACAAACATCCTCCAATCAACACATAGTTACTACTGTACAGAAATAAAATGGCCACTATGTAACACCCTTTCTTCCTGTACACATCTACTAAGCCCCAGTGGTCTTGTTTCTCTTTCTGTTAATGTGCAGCTGCTCAGTTCAAACACCGCTTGTTCTGATATCTCAATCTTTGCATGGCTATAGGATAAGGAGAGTTATACAGCTTTAAAACTGGTTTAGGGATTGGTACCAGCATGTTGTCGATCGTCCAGTCTTGGTTTTTCAAGTGTTGTGATTCTTACTGATAAAGAAAATTGTCTTTCTTCTTTTAGTCAATAAGCCATGGTAAACTTCTTGTTGATGACTGGGCTGACTAGAAATAAGGTCAAACTCTCACCGAAGAAATAATAATGCCAGTTTTGGTTAAATAGAGATGAATTAATGAAGGTGAATAAAATAATTTACAATCGAACATATTTGGCATCTATTAACACAAGGCAGCAACTTGGAATCTTGAACTATGTGTTCAGCAAGGTTCAATCAGAAATTCAAGTGAATATTGGGCTTTTTCCTCATGCAGGTGTGCAACTGTGCGTGAAGTCTGAAGTCCCAGGCAACCTCCTGTGTATACTCAAAATCGAGCTGAATTAATACATAATTCTCTGCTCGCATATTAAACTGTTCACATACCAAAATAACTCAATTTTCCATTGTTTAAAATTATGATTAAAAGTCCAAATCCTATGTTTTAATTTTACCCCATTTCATTCGGAGCCAAAACACAAACATATCCAGCTAACATCAGTAATGGAATCAAAAACACATGCTCTGACCTGACCAATTTGAGGTCATGCCTGGCCTCTCACCTGCCTGGGAAAATTAATAAGGTCTAGAATAACACACACCAATCCATTCTAAATCATTGCCTTGAAATTTAAAAACTACAATATTTGCCAATGACAAGTTACCTTGTTATAACTAGACACACATTAGCAATCAAATCTTGCACAGACCAACTAGAATTATGATACACAAGAATTATACACACAAATGCAAACAGACAAGACAAATACACATGAAGTCTACTTAACCAATGAAAAACAAATACAAAAATAGAAAAGATACCAGAACCTTTCTTTTCTTCCATATTTCTGATGAAGCATAAATAAAAGTGAAACATGTTAAATTTGTTTCCTATTTGTTATCCTATTCAATCATATATATAAACATATATATATATATGTATATGTGTGTGTGTGGCATTTAAATATTTTTAGTGGATACTCATATTTGAGTAGACTCTCTGTTTATTTATTAAACATATTTATTTCCATCTATCAGAATGAATGAGAAATTTTTTCTTTTAAAAAATTTCATGAATATTCAGGCCAGTAGATGAAAATAAATAAATATGTTTAATAAATAAATGGAGAGTCTACTCAAATATGAGTATCCACTAAAAATAATGTTTAAGTGATAAAATCTATCGGATTAATAAATAAAAGATCCATTGCTTCTTTAGATATATATATAGTGTTTATGAAACTATCAAGAGCCTATCTGTTCATTTTCCACAAGACAACAGAATTAAGAAAATGCAAGTTAAGGAGAAAGGTGTGAATGAGAAAAGGTAATTGAGAAAATCAAAAGAAAAGCAGGTTAAAGGAACCAATGGAGATAAAAGAACAATATAGACAGGTTTACTGTCAACAGTTTCATTAGATCTTATCCTTTACTTAATATTTTTTTTTCTTTTGGAGTATTATGCACACCTTAAAGTAGATAATTATTCCAATATCAATATATACATAATGAAAAAGAAAGTGTGCTCTATTGCTTTGAAAAATTGTTACTCTTATTTATGACTTGATTATTTATTATAAACAATAAAACAATTTTATATTTTTTTTGGCATTTTAGAAGACTAGGACATAGTGCATTTTTAAAAAAATTACTGTAAACAAGAAACTACTTTGTGTGGACCTGCAAATACTGAAGCAGCTTCTAATTTAGTGATTGTTACCTGTAACTAACAACATATTATGCAGCTCTCTTAATTACTGTGTTTATGGTCAATATTCTTTGTGTGCAATTTGTTACTGTCTGCGTTTATATCTTTGCCATTCATAAGATGCTTACAGATCTCCTCATTGTGATAGTCTTCCATTAATCTTAAGCTCTTTATCACCATTTATATAAAAATTATTACAAGTTTTATAGCAGAAAAACAACAAAAACAATTATTAATATTTAAGAAGTAATTTTTGACAAATTCTTGTTCTTCTACTAATAAGCTGATAACAATCATGAACAACTGATCATTATTTCAAAAGCAAGAACAATTATGATAATTTACTAGTGGCCATGACAGTTGAACTATGTTCTTTTTTTTTATATATATATATATATATATATATATATATATATATATATATATATATATATATATATATAATGAGAGTGAAAATAAAAATACACCATTGATATAAAAAAAAAAAAAAAATGAGAATTTTATTAATGTATATTAATGCTGCTGCTGTTCCAATGTCATCTTTCTGAGAAAAGACCATCCTCTTCCTCTTCCTCATTATGTTGATTGCTTGACTGGTCAATAATACAAGGAGAATCCAAGCTCTGATTTCTGCAAAAAAAAAAAAAAGATTTGATGAGTTTTAAACTTAAAATTTTAGAAACAGCAATTAGATCACAAGTTGAATGTATTCATGTTTGTGTGCACAATAGCCTACCTAAGGTAATGATTGTGCACATCTTTCTTTAAGGTGAACATCTCAAATCAAGTTTTGATATGTTCAGATTAAAGAAAGGTTTGCAAAGAATTTAATTTGTTTTAATGATTTTCAACTCTTAAGGTTATTAATTAAGTTATTGCTATCTGTAGTTTGGGAGCAAAAAAGTAAAGCTTAGACTTACCAAGATTTCTCTCAACCTTGCTCTCAGTGGTATGTAACAAATTTCCATCTTATTTACTATCTGTTTGTATCTGCTACACCAACCACTAGCCTTTCACTCTTTGACTACTTTCTTCAGTTTCCTCCTTTCAGTTAACATATCTCCATAAATCTGAGAACTATAAAAAAAATGCCATTCTATCCCGATTCTTCTTTTACAATCACTATCCTTACAATCCCTCAGTGCAGTGGTACGTAAACAGACAAACTTATGAGGTGTGGGTTAATGAAAGTTATTGCTACATGGGTTTCATTGGAGATTGACGGAAACATCATTAAGGATGTGGCTTGTCTGTGGCCATTAGATGATACATAACATATCAATCTGGCAGAGTTGGATGTTATCCTGAAGAACATCAAAGTAACAGTGGGGCACAATGAGGTTGCACTTCTTTACGAACTTCGCATTGATGGGTGTCTGACATGCTCACTGGAAAAGCCAGAATATGCATGAGAGTGATAAATGAGATGCTGATCCAAAGACAGCTCAGTACTCTTGAAAAGTTGGTCCAAGAGTACAAATTATCAGTAACCATGATGTTAGTCACATCAAATCAGAACCGAGTATAGAAGTTCACAAGGGTACTGCATCGAAAGTATGATGTGACCAAGAAGAAGGTTGAACCAGTACAACTTATATGTGTTTTTATGGTGAAAAAAAACCCTCCCAGATTGGTTGAAAGACCATCCATTGCCAGAGTGAGCCATTCTATGACATCAAAAGCATCTGTCAGTAGTCTAGGAATGTAAGGAATCCCAGTCAATTGACTCCGCCCCAACTAATTGGCCATGAGGTAACTTAAGTATGAATGAAGCTTGTACCTGCCTAGGAATGGATAATACACATTACGATAGAAAACACTCCCTTGTGTTAATTAACTGCAGCTCTACTTGTGACAGAGAGATAGTCTGGGAAACACACACACGTATATTTTTTTTTAGTGAAATTGAAGTAGATTTGAATAGCGAAATTAAACCATAGCATTTTGTTTACTGATAGGAAAATTTGATCTAGGGCAGAAGTTGTACCCATTGAATCTGGGTCATCAGAAGACAATGGAAATGGTTAAAATAATTTTTATCGATTAAAAATTGAAATAGAGCTGAGTAAGCTAGAAGGAACTTTGGAATTCACATGATTTTGTTTGAAACAGCCAGAACCCCGTGATAATCGTGTGCGAAGTAGTAGGGCCAAGGGTCAGTTATAACCAGCTGGGTTTATCTATATAAGCACGTAGTTATGCTGAAAAAGACAGACGGGAGAAAATTCTTGAAGAGAGAATTGGACCGCGTGAGCGTTGGGAGGAGGAACGCCACTATAACTTTAAGCCCCACACAGAAATCTTAATCCCTCCATCACAAGAGTCATATATCATTCTGAGACGATTTAACAATAAGATAATCACATACACTCTCTCTCGGTCTAGAATCCAGTGTATGAGTTTTTTTTTTACTTTTCTTTTCTGTAACCTGTTTCTCTTCTCTACTATTCTTTTCTGCTATATAAAAGACATTACCAATTCAACCATTGAATCGATGTTTGTCCGGCTTTCTGCAGATATTAATTTTTTTTTGCTGCATTCTAAATCTCTTAGCGCAGACTCCCCAGCCGTGTCTACATCTTCAGTCGACCATGAATGGATGGACATCACTTCTGCTTTCTGGATCAAACAAATCACAACGTGGGCAGGAAGCAGGATTAAACCAGCGAACCGGTTGAATAATCTACGGAAGCTCAGAGGACCTATGGCCACTCCCTTAAGTTCAGTTAGGACTGAGTAGACACCTCAACCCCAAGAGTAAGACGCCAGAGGTTGAAGGGCCGGGGCGAAAGTGTTAGATACTCGATTTGCAAAATGACAACCTCTGCATTAGCAAGATTTGAGAAACATCATCTGACTGCTGGAGACCATTTTTTATGGATGGGATCCACCTATAGAAAATCTAACTGACAATGATGCTGTATTTTGCAGCAAGTTTTCTAAAGATTTCTCAGACGGCTGGCAGTATCTAACTTCACTTCCAGTACATGTATTCCCCCATAGGCAATGGCATAGTTGAAAGATACCAGTGGTACATAAAGAGGATTGCCATGAGCAAGAAATGTTTGATAATAGAGGTGGTGTATTGACACAATGTCATGCCAAATAAGGACACATCGTTCACTACTGCACCTGCCAATATGATTCATCACTACCAATTCAGAGTGAAGGGATCAATTGTAAATTACCACCTTACCATTGGAAGGATCACATCATGAACAAAGTGGGAGACTGAGTGAGGGTGAAAAGTTGAATTACCTAGTCAGAACTAGTGACAGTGTGTCATGTATGTTATTTGCTGATGATATCTCATGAAACTTCTCTCTTTCCATAGAAAACATCATGCAAAATTTTTGTTCCACCTCAACCAATTACTGACTTACATATAAAATGAAGGCCTCAAGTGACAAGACAGTTTTTTTTTTCTGTTTTTTTTTTACAGTGTGTAAAGGATGGTTTTGTGTTATGGATTTGCAACCTACAAACTATGGATTTGTGACTTTTGACTTGTGGATTTTTAAAAGATTTTATCACATCTAGAACTCCTCAACTCCAAGTTGACAGGAAAGCAAAAAGCTGGAAGAGAGTCCCAGAGACAAGAAGTGCAAAAGAAGAAACTATTAGCATAGAACTTACAGTTAGATTTAGCCATTTCAACAGTAAAATACTGAAACTTAGTTGCCAATTTATTACTATACCTAAGTTCACAAAGTCAAGGTACCAAAGTTGTTTTTGCTGAATTTTCTCTTGTGTGTTTTTGTATAGATATCTTTATTTGTATTATTATTCTCTTTAAGGCTTTGACATCAAATCTAACAGGTAACTTGTTCCTTACACTACTGTAGAACCGTTTGCCTAGTGATCAGATAACCCAGGTGAGTTAGTGCATATTAGAGAGAAGTAGTCTGACCCTGAGAAAGGTGTTGAAAGAAGACATGCTGTGACCAATGTCCAAACTCACAGCGAGGAGGAACAATAAATATTCCTAAATAATAACTCACAACCTTAACTTAAAATTAGTAATCTCCTAGAGTATGACATCACATATTTGTAAGTACTTTGTTTGTGTCATGTTTTATTGCCTTTTGCATTGTTACTGTTAATAAAATGGTCTTTTGACACTCCTTTTTTTCATTTCACTTAATCCCTCATATCCATAATGGCTCCCTACCTCAAGAGGTAGGGAGCCATTATTCAATAACAACCCAATTGTCCAGCCATTAAACTCCAAACATGAATAATAATAATAATAAAAAAAGTTTTGTCACCTTGTTGCATTATTGCTGCCATTCAGATGAGTCTCCTCACGTAATAAACGATTTTCATTGGATAAATCCCGATGTTTCATTTGCAAGTAGGATAACTACAGAACATAAAGATATGATAAAGCAAAGAGATAGTGAACTGTACAAATTTTGTATCAATATAATATCTATTTCTTTTTCCTTCTTTGTACAAGAAAAACTGAATTATTATATTTAACTAATAAATATTATAAAGATAAAACCATAGAAACAAAGACTTTTCAATGCTGCAGTAAAAAAAAAATATATGGTCTTTGGGAGTAGACTGCCCTTTGTTTTTTGTATAGCCTCTGGTAGAACCTGGAAAATTTCTTCATACAAAATTTCTCTAGCTGGAGATGGTATAAAGAAAAGAAATTGAGAAATTGCAAACAAAATCCATAGATTTAAATAAAGTTTGTTTCACAGTTAGATGGAAGATTTCCATAAGACATGTAACATTTGCCTCTCCAATGTGAAATACACGTGTCTATGCGTACACACACACACACACACATCTTGTCTGTGTGTATAAATATTTATGTCTTTGATATCTCAGCCTGCCTACTATCAAGTCATTCTAATACTAATTTGAATGCATACTTTAAATTCACTTTTTGCTAATCTGGACCATCACTAGAATGTTTGGAGAGGGCTGCCTTTAAGCTAGGTTGCCGCATGTAAGAATTTACACATTAGAATTAATTCACAACACTATTTCCACGGTGACAATGGGAGGGGGTCAAATATTTTGTGGGGAGGGCTCTGTTCCTAATACTGATCTACTTCTGAGGAATTCTTATATGAGAGGTTCATCTAGTATAAATGTTGATAAACCTTTACGTTGATTGAAAGAGGCTCATCTAGTATAAATGTTGATAAACCTTTACAACAATGAACACAAATTATTCTACTGTATAACTAGTTTTAGTTTCATTGAGTGTGGATGTGTGGGTAGTGTAATGGATAACAGCTCAGAATGAGAAATCAGAGAGCTGAGTTCAAATTCCAACTGGGTTCATTGCATTCACTTACATGTAAATACTCTTGGGAAAGGTAAAAATCCATTTCACCCCCTCAAGCTATAGGTTAAATAGTAAGACTTGTATCTAGAAAAATCATTGTTATTCTCCAAAAATATGTTTATGCAATATCTATTGACCAAAAAACAATTTTTTACAATCCAAAATATTTTGCTTTTAAATAACCCACAAAGGGTTGATAAGCTGTAAAAAAACAAACAAAACATCTGAATTATAATAGATTTAATGGCTTTTATATACTCAGTATTTAAAGAAAAAAAACTTATTGGTACCAGAAGTTGGTAAAAGCTAGAGTTTTCAATATTGATTATCTAGGCAGAAAGTCTCTCTGCACCGAAAAAACTCAGTTTAATCCACTTCTCCAAGCAAGTCTGTTGAGAAGTCTAGGCACTAGAAGTTTGAGAGGCAAGCAATAAAGAAAAAGATTTTAATTTCACATAAATGTACACAAGCAAGCTAAATGCTTTTTACCTTTCGATTGACTTCCATAGTGTTCTGTTGGGCAGCTTTCAACTGACACTCCATCCTCTGAATTTTTGCACAGTACTCTTTCATTAACTGGCTTGTCTGTAGAAAACAAATGTGAACATCTCATAGAATGCTTCCTATAGGATCAATGACATTTGTATGAGTGCTTGTAAAATTCATCTCTCTAAACAAAGGTGAATGACAACAGCAACTAAATCAACCTAATTACATTCAGGTGCTTAAAGGTTTTACATATAGTTAGCCAACATAATATAGTACTTATTTCTAGTTTTTCATGTTACTTCTACCTGTAAAAGAGTTTTAACAGATGATGAAAAATATGGCCTGAAAATCTGAAGGCACATTGGAATAGCAAAAGATGCCTACCAAAAACTAAACAAAATATTAAAAAACAAAATTTTTTTGCTAGAAACAAAGTAAAGAGTGCTGAACTGCTATATGGCAGTGAATGCTAGACAATTTCTTCACAGAGATGTGGTTCTACAAAAGGATGCTGATAATAAAATGGACAGAACATGTGAGCAACAAGGAAGTTTCAATGAAAATGGAAACAAGAAGTACACTTATATTTAGAATAAAAAAGAGACAGTTGAAATTGGAGAATTTGACACCCACAGAACATATTGACAAGTAAACTACCTAATGAGCTTGTGTAAATGAATGGCAGAACATGGAGTAGAAAGGATAGTAAAAGAACAAACATTACTAAGAGCTATAAAAGACAGGAAGTTGTGGAGAGCCATGATCTCCCACATCCAGAAGAGACACAGCAAATAAAAGAAGTTAAAAGTTATTTATCATTTTTCTTTTAGTTTTCTGTAAAATAATAAAGTGATGTTTTTACCTCAGACATTTTCATTTGGCTTTCTCTTAAAAGTCCTTTGAGCTCAGAGTTACGAGACTTGTAACGAGACAACTCTGACCGAAGCTGGGCTTGTTTTTCCTCCGACTTATTTGAAATGGTTGTGAATTCTTCTTTCCACCTAGAATAAAGTAAATAAAATGTATACAGCCTTTGATACTAAAGCATAGACCATTGGCATTTCTTTTCACTGTTTTAATTAATTGATACAAGCATGGCATCTTCATTTATCTCTTGTTATATAAAGATACTACAAAAACGAATTTAATTTAAAAGGTTGCTTTTTGCATTTCAAGTACTATTTAAAAGTTAATGAAGGTGATAAAGCTGACAAAAATAAACATTGTAAATGTCTGCATAAATAACAGGAAGGTGTATTTAAACAGTTGGTAACCATTTGCAAGATAGATGAATTATTGGCACAGTGGATGAGGTAGTTGCACATTTCCCACTGTTACCAGGATATTGATTTTTAAGACTTGCAGGTTTTATTAATGGCACAATTTTTCTACCTTCATTTATCTATCCCCAATTTGGCCTTGTATCAGACCAAGCTAAAAAATCTAACAGCATTAAAAAAAATATATATATTTAAGATGGCCTAAAAATTCATTACTTATACTAAGTACTGAAATTTTCGTATTTTTTTACACACAGAGGACTTATTAAATTCTATAATGCAATTTTAGAAATAAAATGTAATTCTTTAAAACAAAAAGACATTGCATTCACAAGTAGTAACTTATTTATTTATGAGTATATCATCTAGATGAAAAATGACATTATACTTAATTTGTAAGAACTTTATAAAAGATAATTCTTTTCTAGTCAGTTTATTACTTTAACTGTTATATTTTGCTTTGGCTGTAGAAAAAGCAACCTGCAAAAGGAGGATCAATATATCTACAGTTATAATACAGAAGGTCCTATTTTATTTTTCAGCCTGACTTTCTATGACATTTTCCTACTTTTCAGCTGTTGTATATTCCATCATAAAACAATTCCACTTTTAATGCAGTCAATACTTCAAAGAACCTTTTGATATCTAGAACTTGTTGGAAGTGCTGACCAGACAATAAGCAAAACAAATGATAGTCTGAAGGTAACAATTCTAAAGAATAAGTTATCTTCTGCTTATTTCACAAGAGTTTGTTTTGTCACATTTGTAATATGAAAATGTTTTGTGATGTCAATGAACACATTGCCACTTTTGTAAGGTAACAAATACTTGTCACTTTTGTAATGCTTGTTGTAGTAGAGGCTTGTAATTGCAGATACAACTATAGTAACACTGTTGAACAATACTGGTGTCAGACGCCTTTGAATAACACTCACGCTAATAGTACTTGCTTGATGATACTTGCTCAAAAAGTAACCACTGAATAGTAATCCATATAGTGATCATTTAGACGCCATGCTAATTCCCATATATACATTTCCTTTACTATCACACGTGATCTACTTATTCAAAATGGGATTGCCTGTGTTTGCTCTCTGGTGATCTGTGTTCAAACTCCAGTGTTGGCAGTGACACTTCATTCCTATATAACAAAATGTCATGTAGTAAAATTAATGGTTGATTTCTTTGCCACCCCCCAATGTTTTTTCTATTTCAACATACCTTTTAAAAGATCCAGTTGCTTACTATAACATTGTGCAGCAACACTTTATCCAAGTTGCAGTAATTTGTAATAAAAAAAATAACTTTTGATCAAGCCATGATTTTGTAATTCCATTTTTATCACCTAAATAACTTTTTAGAAAAGCAATCATAACAATGAATGTCATTCGCCTGAAAACTGGCTTCAATAAAAACCATTAAATAGAATCTTTCTTTCATTGAGTTGTCCATTTCATGAAAAATTTTTAAGTAGAAACTTTAAGGGAGATAGCCTTTATATCTAATGAGTGCATTTTAAAATTATATATCCTTTAAAAATGTTATTTATTTACAATGATGAATACCTTTTTCTCCATAAATCCAATACTGAAAACTTTATTCGCATAATAATGTTGCTTAATATTTGGGTTATATTGTAGGTATATTTAAAAATGAGTAAAGAATGAGGAGAAACAGACTCATTTAAATATTTGTCCTACATGTGTAAATAAATTTAATATTTAAAATAATCTTCTGTATTAATTCATATTACTCTTTTTATTTATTTATTTTAACATTTATATTTTATTTATTTTTATTTATATTTTATTTTTGTTTCTTAAAAAAAGACAATCAATTTCCAGGCTTCAACTTATTTAAATATTAAATAATCCTCTTAAACAAACCAACTGAGTTGTTCTCAATCATTCATTTTTGTAAATAAGCAACAATCAAATTAAGAGCAATTTTTCGACAATACATAATTTAAGTAATATAATAGTTATTTCCTTTTAAATGTCTACATTTGGATTTTTCGGTGAACTGAAGATTTGCTTTGTGAAGCCATTTTTTAGGCAAATGACATTCACCATTATGAACCAAATCAGACTTTTTTCTGCATCGAACACAAATAAGCTAAGATTTTGGTTTATTCACTAAACTCTGATTATTTATATAACTTTTTAAAAAATTTATTTCACTTAATACAAGACCCAAGAGCCACTGAAGGTAGAGGGTTACTGAATGGGATTGTTTTATGAGGAGATGTAGAACAAATAACAGTTGACTATGTACTTGAAGAGGTTAAGATTGTAGTGGTTGGGAAAGTATCCTCTAAGGAGTCTATTCCACAAAGCAGTAGCTCTTGGGAAGAAGCTGTCTGAATGGAACTTCCTTCTTACCAATGGAATACAAAGAGAATGAGGATGATTCATCCTTATGTACATGGCAAATGTGAAGGTTTAAACTGGTGGAACTAGAAAATGTAGCTTGTCAGAACATTTTACATGAAAATATTGATAGAGTAGCAAGAGACATGTGGGAGAAGAGTTGTAGGGTGGAAAATAATTTATCACCTAGAAAGCCATGTAAATGCTTTTGAACTCTGTTGAAGCTGGAAAGAGAGAAGTGGGCATCTCCAGTTCAGATATGGCAGCACTATTCCATTTCTGGTCTTGTATCCGCTAATGTCAGGTAATGTGTAAGGGTAAGTAAATCAGCTTATATATTTATTGGGACAAAATTACTTTTGAGGAGCAGCCAGTGAGGAAGATTTCATTAGAAATGGCTTAGGAGCCTTGTGTTAATCTTGCAACACCTTTCTTGCTTTGTCTATGTTTCCAACTCAATAATGTTTTCAACTCATTCCCTCATGGTAATCTCACTTATAGTATCTTATTCATGGGGAGTAATTCCACTCACTCTAACAATCTTCCTCTTTCTTCTTTATTAAGTAGACAAATAAAGATCAACAAATTGGACCATTGAACTCAACAAAGGCTTTAATTCTTCAACCTACTTTTTATTTTTATATGTCTGCTTCTTGAAGCACCTTCAAAAAATTTTGTATATATGAACCATCCTTTGTGAGTATTTCAATTTGGAATATTTCCGTTATTCGAGTTTCTGTAGTAGTATCATCCACTTGAGATTCTCACCATTTCTCAGCATCTCTGTCAAAATCAACCACTTGTCTTTCCTGAGCTTCATTTTCAGTGTTCCACAAGCAAGAAGTGCGATAGAAGAAACTGTTAGCACAGAACTCACAGCTACATTTAGCCTCTTCAACCACAAAATGATAAGACCCTGTCACCAATCCAGCACCATGCTCAAATTCATAAAGTTTAGGTACCAAAGAGGAAAGCTCTGTTAATTAATCTTGCAACACTTTTCTCCGTCTATGGTTCAATAACATTTTCTCTAACCTGTGTGATAATCTCATTTGTAGCATCTTCATATCATGGGGAGTAACTCTGTTCACTGAAAAACATCGTATATTAATTATCACTCTACAACAGAGACAAAAGAATTTTGATTTTATATAACATTAAAAATGCTATTATGCAGTGTATAATGAATGGTAAGGTGAGTGTTGTTATAAATCAGATTGTGAAAAGTACTTGCTGACCAACAGAACTCTAAAATAATTGTCCATTTGGACACAAATTGGCAGACTATTGCTTGCGTGTTTAAGTTACTTACCTTGCACTAACCAACTGTTGTGTATTGAGTAACTTCTTCATTTCCACCAAGACTCCTTGATTCACATCCTCACAATTCTGCAATTTTACTTCATAGTCTTGTGTATGTGTGTTTATCTCTTCTTTCATTAGAGAAATCTGAAAAAGAAACACTGGCCATTGAAAAGAACCTGTTGTAGTTATTAATTCATAACATGAAGATCATGTACAATTGGCAGTTTTTTTTTCTTATTCATATTTGAAACTAAGCATGTTATAATGTCATTAGTAAATAAATGATGACAACAGACAAAATTTATATAAATGCACATCCATTGATAAAAGTGCATATTTAACTTTTCGTGTAGCCTCCCATTCTTCACAAAATAGAGTAATGGATTTATTAATTATGGAGAAATATAATTCTTGAATAATTTTGTTTAGATAGGTACTGGATATTTTTGGTAAGTTACTTTCATTTGATATATTGTGTATATACACAAATAAACACATTTATATGCAACTATTTAGATTTAAATAGCCGAATAACTAAAAGAATTACTTCATTCTGAAAAGATTGTATATACAGAATTTCATTCTTGAACACATATCAACCAATATATCACATTAAGTGATTGATAGGAATCAGTATAAATGCTAAGAGAGATCTAGAAACACTGTGATCAAAGCTTCTTAATGACAGCATGTACTTAATTTTATGTACACACACACACACACATTACACACATATATATATATATATATATATATATATATATATATATATATATATATATATATATATAATTATTATATATATTATATGCGCAGTATTTATTAGAAAGCGCTCAATATCAGAGATAGAGCTAACATATTTGGTTGGATTGATGTGAGTTTGTGACACTGGGTTTCACGCTTTTGTGATCGTCAGACAAACTGATTAATTTTTTTAAAATTTTGGGTTTATGTAGACTGTGTATTGGTGTTATTATGGGAGTGGGTGGGGGGATCGTTGTCGTGATGTCACTTGTGCTAATGCAAACATAGATGCATGTCCATACACCCGATGAGGTACGCAGGCACACATACACACTTGCTCGTCCGCCGGGGCTCATACAGATATAAACATATGTGGACAGTATGAGAATTGACATATGTATGTATATGGGTGGTGTTGTGTCTATACATATGCATTTGTATGTTGAAATTCAAAGATCGGAAGTGTAGCGAAAATTTCTCGTGAATGTATACATGTCAGCAATCAGAGCATTTTTCTATTTTTTGCTGAATAATATTTCCTCACATGCATGTATATATGTGTGGTGGGGGTCTGTGTAAATTATGATAGGTAAAAATTGCTATTATTTTTATTTTTAATTTTTTAAAAAGTTTATTTGTTATTATTTTAAAGCTGGTTATTTGCTTGTTTTTGATGACTGTGTATATATAACTGGTAGAAATCCCCCCCCACTTCCATAATAACACCAATACACACAATCTACATAAACCCAAAATTTAAAAAAAATTAATCAGTTTGTCCGACGATTACAAAAGCTTGAAACCCAGGGTCACAAATTCACATCAATTCAACCAAATATATATATATATATATATATATATATATATATATATATATATATTTTCTTCATTGTTTTGGCTTTCTCTGACTTAATGGTAAAGCAAACATGGCTTGAAAGTGGTTTTCCAGATTAAAAAGAGAATACAGATTTGATTCCTGTTGCGAGATACATTTTCTATAGTAAGAATTTTGATCTCTAGCCTGGTAGATGTTAATTTCAGTGTTTTGAAAAAAGAAAACAGGAATATCTACTCAAACATGTGTACCCACAAAATATAGTGTTTATAGTAATTATATATATATATATATATATATATATATATGTGTGTGTGTGTGTGTATTGAGGATGAATAAAAAAAAAAATTCACACAGACAATGGTGGCAATAGAATAAGTGGCAAAGTTTAACATATGCACCTACAAAAAATTGGTGTATCAAAAAGATGGCTTTTTTCTGCTATTACTGTATACTGCCTCATCAATTTTTGGGATGCATTGTCTTTTTCTTTAGAACTGACAACAAAGGAATTAAAAACTATTTATTAGATTGTTTATTTACTAGAATAATTTTATAAGTACAAGTTTCTAAAAATATATGAACCAATTACAATGCAATATTTATTATTTACCATTTCATAAATAAATAACTATGAAAACAAATTTTTTTTATTCATAAATTTATAAAAATGTCTGAACAAAAGAACAAGAAAAATGAAAAAATGTATTTCTGGGCATTTTTTTCATATGTTCTTGCCAGATAAATACACTAAAATAGGTTGCAAGCATTTAGTTTTATACTTGTTTTTTTTTCTTGAGAATTGACAACAAAAATGTTAAACACTATTATTTACAAGGTGAGTGTTTAATGCTTTTGTTCTCAATTCTTAAGAAAAAAAAAGGTGAGAATACATAAATCCAGTCTCATATGTTTAGGTTTTATTAAAATTCTAAAAATAACTGAAGGAGTAATATACAGTAATAGCAGTGTCAAGAGAAAAAAAGACCTATTGATACACACTTTTTTGTGAGTATGTATGTTAAACTTTGCCAAATAAGCAATAAATTATCACCACTTCATTGACCTCAGTTGAAGTCATAGAGTTTGCAATTGTGAACTCCATTATTTTTCCATGAATGTATAGTATGTTTTTTTAGGGCTATATATAGTTTTGAATTCAAAGTTTCCCTAAACTGTTTACTAATTACAGCTAGAGAGCTCACTCTTCCCTGCTATTAACCCATAGTTAGGGGAGAAGAAATTCATACCTTTCCCAAAAGTATTTGTATACAAGTGAATGTAACAAAATGAACTGAAATTTGAATTCAGCTTGTTGATTTTTCACTCCAAGCTACTATCCATAACACAACCTGCGCATCCTTAATAAATATATTGGATTAAATAGTAAGAAAAATGAAAAAAGTGCTGGGTCTTTTAACCCAATATTAATGGTAAGTAATCTCATAATTCTGGAGTAAAATGACATAATCACTTAACTGGATATGCTTATGAGTAAGAAATGGGCCAAACCTTTTTATTCATTGTTCTCTGAATTTCATCTCTTTCATTATTGGTTTTCAGTACTTTAGCCTTTAAGTCATTTACTTCTTGAATCAACTGTAATTTACTGTCAGATAACTGGCTGTTCTGGTCATTCAAGCAGGAAACTTGATCCTTCAACTGATCTATCTGGGCATTCAGCAGCTCAGACTTCTGTTTGTTGCTGGATATGAAATAAAATATACAAAAAAAAAAAAAAATGATATATGTCATTACATAGAATTCCTAACTTGAAAAAACTCAAAACTGTTAAATAAATAAATAAAATTATAAAGAAAATATATTTATGAAATTCAGGTTTTATATTTTTAAGATTAATTTCATAAACAATGGCTTAACAAATGTATGCATAGTGATATTGCATCATGTCCTATATTGTTAGCATGTGCTGAATCTAGAAAATTAAATAATTATTACAAAATCTTCAAGTAAATTCAAATACCTACATTTATTGTTAATATTAGAATAGTTTTTAAAGATCAGCAAGAGTAACAACACATATTTTTTCATGTGTTAATGAAACAAAGAAATAAGAAACTAAAATTTTGAGTTTTTCACTTGAGATTTTTATCATCTGTATTCTTCAAATCGCGTTTCATATAGCAAAGAAAAACCTATTCATTTTTTTTTTAACCATAAACAGCAGATGATGGAAATTTTTTTCATTGCAGTTCTATGGACCAACTGTAAATGACAAATATTTTTGCTGCAATTAATAAATATAAGAATAAAGGAGGAGTTTGAAGTCTATGTTTTCCAGAATGATGTCATTAGAATAGGTCAAAGCAAAACATTGTAATGTTTATATACAATTTGTAAAAACTTAAAATTTACAACTGTTTCCAATGTAATTTAATTAAAAACTCATGGAAACATTAGATTACTTTTTCTCATCTCGTTCTAACTGATGCCGCAACTTCTCCAGGTTTCTCATAGCAGTGTCCCTTGATTGTTGGGCACTGGTCAGCCTTTGGCCAAGCTGCTCTTTTATCTCGTTGCATTTCTTTGTCTCAGACAGGCAGTCCTTACGCACCTACAACACAGAAACATGAAATCCTAAACTCAAAATTGTAAATCATTATAGCAACTCCTTTAATTTAGAGAAGCTATTATAAATTCATACAAGAAAAGCCATGAAAGCAACAGTCTATGTTTTTTTTTCTTACCATAACAAGTTCAATGAGTAAACATATCAATACCCCCAGAGATGAAGTCCCCAAAGATAGCAATTAAAATTGGTTCTTACTGTGACATTTGTGACTCTACAAAAGAGGTCAATATTGGCCAATATATATATATATATATATATATATATATATATATATATATATATATATATATATATATTTATATACAGATATAGGATTGAAATGAAATAAAATTCTGATAACCAAAACCACTATTTTTTAAAAAGTACAGCAAAAAGTAGAGCAAAAAATATTTATTCAAAAATTATAATAACATAAGCATGTTATAACATCACTAGAAAAATAGCCATTTTGTTTCAACACTTTTGGTGTCTTATCAAGTGATGGTGTATATATATATATATATATATATATATATATATATATATATATATATATATATATATATATAATAAACACAATATATATAAATAAACACAATATATATAAATAAACACAATGAACTAGTTTTTAAATGCCGACACAAAAACAACCTAAACCTAAGCAAGTACGCTAAGAAATAATCATATAGGAACAGCAATTTTGAATGTTTTATATTCCCTTTGTTTTTAGAAATATTACTATGCACACGTGGATGCTAACACATGACTGTATGTATACAACTATGATAATGTATTTGCACACTGAGACACCTGTTGATATGTACATGTATATGTTTTTATACGGAAAAAGAAACATACCAGTTTTTTTTTTTTTTTGTGAGTGTGGAGATGTACAATTAGTTAGGTACTTATATGTTTTGCCATAAATATGAAAGATCGGGTAATATTATATGTGTAAAGACATAGATAATGTAATTAAATACTGAGATAGTCTTGAATGAGGCATAAGTGGATGCACAGGTGGACATGAGAATAGGGACAAATACGTAGGTAGAGATATATGTAAGTGCAAATTAACGCATATGTGGGTATATAGATATTCTGCAGATTGCGTATGCATATGTGTGTGTATGTATATGCATGTATGTACGTATGCATATATGGGTGTGTGTATGTATGTGTATATGTGTATACGTATGGATGTCTGGATATATATATGTGCGTATGAGTATATATGGATATGCAGATGTCCTTGTGTGTATATATATATATATATATATATATATATATGTAAGTATAAGTATACATGGAGACAGGTATGGAGACATGTGGATGTGCGTTCTCTCTGCAGGTGTATATGTGTAAAGATGGAAATATACATATATCGTTTCGTGTGAATGTGTGTGTAGGTGTATATAGGAACTCATAGGCATATAAGACGATATAGGTATGTGCTTACAAATAGGGGTTTAAGACATGTGTAGATAAGAAAATATAAAAGAAGGGCCTAATTTTCTGCTAGTGACATCTCTTCCAAATTTCTCCTCTAATATTCTCCAATTGGAAGTGAATTTTAAATAGCACGAAGGGAAAGCGTTAGACTAGTATTTTAATTGAGATTGAAAGATACTACCCCAATGGGGAAAATAAAATTATTTAAATGGGAACAACTGTTGATAATTGGATACATAAAAACAACCACGAGTTTACTTAATGAACAAAAATCAAAAACAATCACAAGTTTACTTAATGAACAAAAATCAAACGAATAAATGTCAACCTAACAAGTTATAAGATAAAAGCTTTAGTGGAAAAAGTACTAAATATAAATTGGATTACTCTTTCAATGTTCTGTCTATAGATCTTTCCAATCGACTGCTTCATAGGAAATACCCAAAACTCTACCGAATTTCAAATTAATTTCTTCGTAGATTGTTTTAAAATTTTAGATATTTATCAAACCTTAACCTCCCAAATATGCACGTTAAAGTAACGCGAACTGACAGCGTCTAGGAATTTGAATGAAACCTGTCATGTAATTTATTGGGGCTGTTGTAACGCGTCTTCCTTAATGTAGTCCTTATCGCTCACCCCTTAACCACCTTTATCTAGAGACGAGACGCGTTAGATTTGAGCAACATCCAGCCGACACACTGGGGTTAAAATAGGAAACTAAAATGATACATATGACACACTCATATCCTCTCTCCCACCTCACTTCCTCACTTCGTTAACTTTGCATATACTTGATGAGGTCCGTAAAAAACGTGTGAATTTCTTTTCATTTTTCATTTCAGCTTTTGGAAGTAAAGTCTGATGATCCAGAACCCTGTTAAAGGGGTTATGGTGAAATAGCTTATTACATGGAATCTTAACGTGGTCTGTCTTTTATTCAAACATATCTGCTCTGAATTTTACATTGAGCTCTCTGGATATCATCCTCCTCAGGTCTACCCATACAGATTACCTAAATTTGCATAAACTATATATCTGGAAGCCAGGATTAATCTTACTTTGTTTAACAACAGAAACAATGTGCTAAAGGTTTTTAAAACAGAAGGATATCAACTTGAATTCTGGCTATGTTTCTTTTGTGTGGCTTGGAATAAACACTATTATCATATAAGATGCATCACACAATTACACCTTAAAAGACAACCATTGAAAGAAATTGATAATAATTAACAACAAACCCCTTGAAAATGGCTAAAGAATTGCCTGAAAGTGAATAGACACTATGGACAATTTTTACATTCCTTTACCCACCACCAAATGGAAAAATTTAAGAATACTAGAAAAACTCAAAAACTCATAAAATTTTCTTTGTCTGTCACATTCAGTGAAACATGTTTGAAAGAAATTTTGTTGCCCAAATTTACATTATATATCATGTTAAATGTTATTTTTAGTTGATATCCATTTTTCTTTAATAAGATTTATCAAATATTCAGGCCAGTAGATGATATAAAATACAGTTTAAAAATAAACAAAATGTCTACTCAAATATGGGTATCCACTAAAAATAATATTTAAAGTGATAAAAATATTCCAGATGAATAAATAAAAATCCATTACTTATTTTTAGATATAATGTTCTTAAAGTGGATACTTTCAGAATAGTGTTGATGCTTATGTTTTCTCTTCTGTGCCATGTCACTTCTGGGCATTTCTGTCATTTGTTGCTCTAAGTAATTTTTTTACCCTTTTATGTTCTACCATCCATTCTTACAAACTCATTAGTTAGATTTCTTGCTGTTTTCCCACTTCTCTTGCCTTCAATTTGTTCTTTGAGTGTTAAATTCTCTAGGCCTTCTTTCTTTATAATCTGTCTCAGAAATGTCAACTGTCAAGTCTCTTCTTCATCAATGATGCCCATAGAGTCTTATAAATCTGTCAAGCTGAAGTAGATATATTTAGGTTGAGCCACTCTACACAAATGTGTGTGCATGATATAGTGATTATTGGTGTGGAAAGTAAAGTCAGCATACTGAGGTCAAATTTCAGTTGAGTTAACTGTGTCTGTTTTTGCACAAACACCCTTGGAAATGAATTAATCCATCTCTTCTTCCCCTAGCTATAGGTTAAATAGCAGAGTAGACTGGGCTGGGCTCTCCAGCTTTGATTATACTCTAGATGGGTTTATCTTTATTAATTCAAGAAGTGCATGTTTTTGATTTCATCAGATATGCTTATCTGACACAGGTAACTTATTTAGCAGTGTTTTTTTTACACTTAAAATGAAAAATCTCTGTTTTTGACAATATTAGTTTTTTGACAAGATCCTGGTCTAAGTTATTAGTGTACTGTCAAAAGATCATTCATGGAAAAAAAAAAAAAAACTATTATTCAATACAAATTCAATTTTTTCACTTGTTCTGCCTTTTATTTTTCATAATCCAAAAGTAGACAATCATGGACTTCTAAGTTTTTTTTTCCAGAATTCTAATATTTTAATGTTTGGTATACTGTGGTCTGGTGAAGAGATTAAGTGGAACTCCAGCAGCAAAAAAGTGCTGTTAAAGGGCAGATTAACTCCTCAGAGTCAACAGCCATCCATCCTATGGGTTAAATAGACTCACCAACCCACAATTGGTCAAGCCTGATGAGTATATCTACATCCCTGAAGACATTGTCAATATAGTAGAAATTCTTTCAACAGGAGTGAGAAAACCCTGGATTTAGACTTTCAAAAATCATTTATTAGCTGAAACTCACAAGAAACATTATGTTTCAAGACAATTTAAAATCATAAATAAGAATATATTATTTTTTCTATTCTCTGTCCTGATTTAATAAATATTGCAAGAAAAGGAAACTCACATTTTCTAATTCCATTTCTGCAGACTTTTTATCTCTTAGTGATCTTTCTAAAGTAGCATCTTTCTCTGAACATTCCTGAAATATAAAGAATAAAATATATTAATAATTTCATATATAAATAGGCTTTATGATATAGTAATCATTTTACATTAAACATTTTTTATTATTTTACATTAAACATTTTTTAAATATTCAGAATATTTCCACACATTTAAATTTTTTTAATATAAAAAGTAAATAAATGAAAAGCAATAGATATTTTTCATTAAAGACTGTGAGAATTCATTTGAAAAATTAAAATTTAATCAAAATTAAACTAAAATAAAGATTTAAATAAAAAACAAATATATAAATATTCTTTCCTACTATAGTCTAAATATAACAGTTGACTTGCCATAAAAATGCATCCTTTATTTTACTAAGCCAAGATATTAAAACAGTGTTTAATAACACTTAAAGGAATGGAATTAGAGAGAGAATTCAAGTGTTATATATATATATATATATACATATATATATATACAAAAATGTCTATATAACCAACAAGTAATTTAAAAAAAAAAAAGATTTGTAGTGTTTGCATAAAGAAAATTTTAAAATCTATAAAATGAACAAATTAGACAGATTCAAAATATAGTGGATACATTATTATTCTATTAATTAATTAATTTCAGATAAAATAAAAACTTCTTTTATTGAAAAAAATTAGCTATGACATCTCTACTGATTGGATACCAATTTAAAATAAAATCTAATTAACTTATAACTTACATAAAATGATAAAATTTACACAGCATTTAAAGCATATATCCAATTATTAATCTGTAAATTTTCAGCTTTTAATTATGTATAGTTATTAAGTTATTAGAAATTGTATACTTTTCAAGTAACACACTTTAAAATTGAGCCAACCATTTTTTGCGTTAAATATTTGTGTGCATTCACTATATTTGCATGTCGGGTATAAATAAAAGACAATATATCAAGTAATCAGTCCAAGTAAAAGTGAAAGTAATAAGAGGAGTTATTCAAAATTCTTCCTGTGTCTTGTTTATTTCCTGTCATTTCAAAATTGTTTTTATAAGAAACTAGACTAAAAAGAAAACAATTTTTGTGAAACATCTCAATTTCTGGAGTTTGGATTTACACTTTATTCTTTTTTCTTTTCTTTGTGGATGAGTTGAATATTTTTACAAGCCAAAATTTTCAACCTTCCACAAATTCATGTTGATGAAAAATATTGCTATGGTTAAAAAACAAAGTTGCTTACATACAAACATACTAACATTAATTTCCATTCATAGAAAAATAACCTGTGATTTTTTTGTGATTCACTAAATATGGTTATTTATTAAGCTTAACTTAGTCTAAGTTTTCTAACCACTATGGTTCATTAAATACAGATGAACATTTAGTAACACAAATAAGATAAATTAGTTAATTTAGCAAGTCAATTATGTATATAACCATCTTTGAGCTACTAAATATATACTTCTTAAAATAATATTATTTATTTGAGGAGTTAATTAATTTAATTATGAAAGAAAATATTTTTAAAAATATATACAATGAGCAGCAGATATTTTCAAATAATGAATTTCTTATTAAGCCATGGACATGTGTACAGTGATAGGAGCCAAAATTTTCAATTTAAATGGATATTGTTAGGTGTCAAAAAATTAATAACTATCTAGAAAAACAAGAACATCTGCTTGAAATCAAAGACTATACTGTTATGTGCACTGGCTTTCTCAACCTTTCTGTATGCCTGTGAATCTTGGACATTAACAGTAGAACTTCAGAAAAGAATACAAGCATAAGAAATGAGATGGTGAAGAACCATCTTAGGCATCTCCTGTATAGATTGCATCACATAAATGACACAGACACTTTCAAACAGGCCCATTGGAAGACCTCACAAATGCTGTCAAGAAGAGGAAATTGCAATAGTATTGACACATCATAAGAGGCAACAATTTTTCCACTATTGTCCTACAAGATACCAAGTAGGCAAAAGAAGAGGTAGAGGAAAAAATAGTCTGACAATGTCACTGAGTGGACTGGAAGATAATTCACAAAAACTCAGACATTAGCATGCAACTGAGACATGGAGGGAGGTGTGCAGCTGCCTAAGAACCCTATGACCACATCTGGTCATGGGTCTGATGATGAAGTTAAATTACAAAATGCATTAAAACCATTAGCTCTGGCAACATTTGAAGCAAGAAGAAATCATTCTGAATAAAAACTACCATGAATTAATATGATATATTTTTCATTACAGACACAGACATAAATTATTTCAAAATATAAAATTAGCAGATACATTTAATCAAAGGTTAAGATAAGGACAAGATATCTTTGAGTGTTAGTTTAACAACAGATCACTTGAATCTCAATAGTACAAAAAATTTTTAGTCTGTCAATCATTTGCTTACCAGTTCCAAGTAGTGGACTTTTTCATTGAGCTTCGATATTCTGTTATTGTACTGCAACTTAACTTCATCTACCTGAACAGAAAAACAAAAAAGGCAAAGTTTAAATTAGTTCCAGGTAAAAACAATTGTGTATCAAAAGGAAATTTTTCTCTTGACATCACTATTACTGTATATTTGGTAATTTTTGTTGTTTAAACTTTGCCAAAAAAAACAATATTTGGGATCTGATTAATTTTGGAATATAAAATATCTATTTATTTATTTGATTTAAAGCTACTTTGCAGATTAAAATTGGGAAATTTCTCAAAACTAACATTTGTTTATTGTTCTTTTGAACTATATTTCAAAAGGGTGATTTTAATCCTCTTTCAGCATTTTTCCAACCTGAAATATTGTTTCAATCATCATATTTCAGTGTTTGAGTCTAGAAATGAACTACAACATTAAAACAAATGCCAAAAGAAACTGATGACTGAAAAGGAATAAAAAATCACTGAGAAAATTGGGAAGCACTGTCAGGAATTGGAAACCTTATTTTGTATGCACCAAAATGAGTTTAAAACATTAATTCCCTCAAAGAAAAAAATTATGAATGTGAAACAAACTGAGAAAAAGCTATAAACAAACTATACAATGGTATAAAATCCCCTTAAAATAATTTTTTTTTAAATGAAAAAGCATAGGTTTTTAAAAATAAAATGATTTACTTTGAGGGAAATACAACTTAAAATATTTACAAAGCCCATCTTTATTCATTTTGCACTCATATCAATTCATATGTATTAATAAAGTATTAAATTTTTTCTTAATCAAGTATTGATTGTAATATTCATCAAGTGGGAAACAATGTTTTTTTTTTGTTTTTTTTACAAATATTGAGACAAAACAAAAAAATTTCACAGTACTTTTGATATGATCCATCTCCCCCATTAATGGATCTGTCCTGAATACAAATATTCAGGAGAACTCTGCTGATATGCAGAGTTTATTAAAGTTTACTAGTAACCCATACATAATGTATGGAACAATTCTACTACAATTTAATCAAATCTCATTGTTAACCATTTTGAAAACGGATAATTTACTCTGCCCAGAGAAACTTATTACTGATCCCAATGCATTTGATGCTGAACTGGAATATTGTCACTGGAGAGTAACTTTTGTGAACTTCTTGAATACGTACTGCGAGCAAAGTTCTAATAAGCTACACTATCTCACCAAAAATGTCTCATCACAAGTTTACAAATATTTTGTAGATACGTCTTCCTACAAAGAGGCTTTAACAATACTGGACAGGATCTACATTAAAAAGAAAAATGAAATAGTCTCTAGACACTTACTGGCTACAAGGCATCAACTGCCCTCAGATTTCATTGATGGATTTTATCAAGTTTTGATAAAACTAAGTAAGGACTATTCATTTTCTTCAGTATCAGTGCAACAACAATGAGTCAAATTTATAAGAGATGCCTTCATAAACAGGCTGTGGTCCATGGATATCTGACAAAGAATACTCAAAAACAACACTTTAACATTACAGCAGGCCTATGACCAGGCAAGAGTACTAGATTTAGCAGAACAAAATGCCAAAAATTATGATACAGAAGCTTCTCCACCTATTTCCCCCACACACACACACCATCGTAAGAAACACTAAGCTCTTCAAAAATATCAGCCTTAGCTAAACTGTGGGGGCAAGAGACATGCAAGGTCATTATGCCCTGCAAGAAGGGACAAATGTTATACATATAGAAAGCAGAGACTAAAGTTTGTAAAAGTAAGAAAAAGGGGAGTAAAACAGTAACTTGTTCAGCATCATGAGATATACTTGGCTGCTTATCAACTACAACAATAGAAATCACTGCTAATGAACAGCCACTGAAAGCACTGATTGACATGTGGAGCACAGAAAACTTCCTTAACGCAAGCACTGTGAAACTAAATTTGCAGAAAATTTACTCATGCCTAAACAAAGAGGTGATGACTAGCTCACCTCTTTCCATAAAAATACTTAGATACTGTTTAGTTGATCTCTATCTATAAAAGGCAGGATGTGTGTGTGTGTGTGTGTGTGTGTGTGTGTGTAACCAATGCATGGCTGCAATTTTTGACGGATTCGCACCAAAATTTACATGCACATGCTCCAAGTTAGCGGGAAGGCCAAGACCAACTTTGCATTTCCCAAGTCCCATCGATAGTGGAAATAATCGATTTTTTCATGCTTCTACGGCAGTTTTCATGTAGTTTGCAGTCATTTTCTACTGGCCAGAGTGAGAGCCAATAGCTGGCTGCCACGAATGTTAACTAGCATGCAAAAAAATCGATAGCTGCATTTGTCACAAGTGGGAAAAATTTAAATCTGCATGGCACTTTACTCCAATTGGCTCATTTGCTTGCTTAAACTCAACGTTGATTATGATTCTGCAGAACTGGGTTGGGTGTGAAAAAGTATTTGTTGTTAACATTCTTTTTTCATTCAGTTTTTCCAACTACAAGTCCTTTTTTAAAGTTGATCGTTTTGTGTTCATTTTGTTTAGTTCTTTTTTCGTAACAGATTTATTGTTTAGTATAGAGCTTAGAAAAAATTCGCAGTGTGAGATAGGCAAGAAGTAAGGCATGTAGCAACATCAGCATGGCAAAGGGCACTCCTTTAAAGGCAAGGAAGGGCAAAAATATTTTAAGTGATAGCGATTGCCGTATGAGTCGTACGATTTTTGAATCAAGCATGGGCAAGTCTACAAATAAATGGTACTTTATACCAAGGAATAAGATGTCTACTAATGAAAGATATATGCTGCAACCTAATATTAGGGCACAACTTACGTTAACATTCATTAGTAGAAATACCCTTTGGAGTCTGTAAGCCATGCTTTAAAGTCTGCAGCTGAACAACTATGAAAATACCATACCCAGCTATCTTCAACAATATAACACCAGATTGTAAACCGGTAACTACTAAATCTAGGTGACACATGGAGGAGGATAAACTATTTAGCCAAACCAAAGTTACTCAGATGTTGAAAGAAGGAATAATCAAATCCAGCCATTTGCTGTAGAGAATGGAAAACTTCATAGTCTCCTCTGAGTAAAGAAAAAAGTGAATAGTAATTGACTATTCCCAAACAATAAACCAGTTTACTTTGCTGGATGCCTATCCTCTGCCAAGAATAGACGACATGATAGAGAAAATAGCCAAAAACAGTTTTTTTTAGTACTTTGGACCTTAAAAGTGCCGACCATCATGTAGCTATAAGGCCTAGCAATAAACCCTATACAGCTTTTGAGGTCAGTGGCAAACTATCAATTTCGCAGAATACTGTTTGGCGTGACTAATGGGGTAGCTAGTTTTCAACGGATGATAGACCAAATAATATCAAAAGAGAAACTGCAAAGCGTATAAAACCCAATCCAGAACGTCTGAATCCATTACTCAGCCTACTGGTTCCAAAAGATTTACCTGCTCTGCACTGTGCATTAGGAATGTTTACCCAGAATGCACAATGGATTTTGTCTTTTTTAGACAAAATCCACCCTCTAACAACAATATCAAACTTCCTTTTATCTTCTATAGCAGAGAAAGCGTCTATCAAGTTAAAGAGGGGTATAGTGAAAGCAGGCATTACTACGCCTGATCATACACTACCTCTGGTAGTAGAAACAGAAGAAGCCTCAGAATGTGCCATAGCCTCCTCTTTAAGACAGTTGAGGAGACACATAGCCTTTTTTTCTCCAGAACCCTGTCTAAATCAGAATGTAGGCATTTTGCAATAGAGAAAGAAGCCTATGCTATTGTTGAATTGCTGAGAAAATGGAGGCATTATTTGATCGGGAGACATTTTAAACTAATTACAGACCAAAAATCAGTCTCATTCATGTTCAACATGAAAACAACAAGCAAAATTAAAAATGAGAAGATAGCCAGGTGGAGAATGGAACTCTTGTATTACTTGTTTGATATAACATCTCACTTGATCCAGAGAATATTGCCATTGATTGTGGAAGACAAATTATGTTTCCAACTCCTTCAGACAGTCAAATTTATGTGTACAGGAGACCACATGAGGCTATGGATCCAGCTTGTGAGCAGAGTGCTGTGTAAATTGTTGGTGTCTCTGTAATGGTATGAAGTGTGTTCTGTTGGTGATTGCAGGAGAACTAGAGAAAGTGAAGTCTGTCTTGGCAGGTATGACATATACAAATCAGATCATTTGCACCCCTTTACATTTGTCATGTTTTCTGGTGGAGATAGTTGGTTTCAATAAATAACATAACATGAGTCATGTCTGGGTGACATGAAACTGGCTCTAAGAACACTCAGCCAATTTCCAAATACTCCAGTGGCCAGGTTTAAACCCTACTGAGCATATATGTGATATGTTGTAATCATTAATAAATTCCTTGCAGCCATAACAAGATCATAATAACACCCTTGGAATGTGCCTGGATAAGATTAAAGAAAATTTTGTGTTTTTTCTTTAATAAGATTTCTCAAACATTCAGGCTATATATATATATATATATATACACACACACACACTATCTAATAAATAAACGAAGCATCTACTAAAATATGAGTATGCACTAAAAATAAGGTTTAAAGTGATAAAAATATATATATATAAGATTAATACAAGTAAAAATTTGTAACTAAGCTGATTGATGATATATCAGGATCTCAACTCCAGAGTTTTGTAAATGAACATTTTTGTAATCACTCAGTTCACTTGTCAGGTTTCAGCAAAATATATATATATATGAAGAAATACAGTTTTTAGGTGTGCTATATTTATGGGATAGAGTATTCAATATCAGAGACAGAGCATATGTAAATATAAAAGTGAACATTGAAGTCAACACTCAGAGGCGACAGGTGCAGCCTGACGATTGGGCTAGCATGAAACAGCCTGTCGCCTCTGAGTGTTGACTTCAATGTTCACTTTATATATATATATATATATATATATATATATATACTACACACGATTTAATACATACCAAGAAAGACAATGTTTTTTTCCAAGGTCATACTTATATAGTCAGATGAGACTGAAAAATTTTCTTTCCTACCTCTTTTCTAGTGGCCATTCCTGCTTCTTTCATAAGTTCTTCAACCATTTCCTGCAAGTGGTTGACCTCATCTTGTTTTTGTTGGCATAATTCTTTGACCTAAAATAGAAATCATGAAGCTCACATTGAAACATATCTGGCACTAAAAATACATGTATTAGAATGCTGACAAGAAGACAATACAGAGATAAAGGTTGAAAACAGTGTCACTGATTTTACTCTGTAATCTCATTGACAAACTGCACTGTGATTTTGTAATATTCTTTGGTAAAACAGTAAGACAAATTATCTTCCTTTCCCTTTTAGGTTTTACTTTTTATCTATTTAAAAGTATCGGCTTCTATTGCAGTAACGCTCCTTGTTGGACTAAAAGCAGTGACAAAAAAAAAAATTACACATAAATTACAGGTTGTCATTACTTACAGAGATATAAGGAAATGGAATAAATTTCAACAAGGCAATATTTTCATGTTTTTATATAACAGAGTAATAAAGGAGAAAAATAAACTAATATGGATGTAAAAGAAAGAATATATTAAAAGTTAACAATTATGAATTGTATGTGTGATACACATGTGCAAGTGTGTGTGTGTGTGTGAAAATTCAGTCACAAAGAAGAAAGAAATCCCTATGCTCAGGACAAGGTCCTGGTGGGTGTTACTTCTACCACAAGTGAGAAAGAAAAGAAAAAGAAGACTGGAAGTGTCCTGTTTTTATAGCAGTTTAACAGTGCCACCTAACAACATCTTGGCAAACCTGGAAAAGCCAAATGGAGTAACCCACATACCAAAATAAAATAACCTGTCAAAAGTTAAAGATGATCTTGGAAAAAAACTGACAATCCTGCTACTTATTTATAAATTGTGATAAATATTCATCATCCTCATCAGACCCATGGTCAGATATGGTCATTGGATCACTAAAACAGCTGAGCACCTAACCAGTTGCTGGCACATATCTGGGTTGACAACCAGAGAAGTATTCATTTATGTATAGCACATCTTGGGCAAGTAGACCCAGCAGAATCCATACCTATACAGATCAAACCACAGCCAATGTCCTCCAGCTTGAAAGCTTGCCTTAGATATGGCCACATGGCTGTTGATCCCATTGATGGAACCCTCTGCACTGGCTTCAATCTAGAAATCCCTCCACTCTGTTGGGGTGGGGGCTTTGATGTATTGTTGGTGCACAATCTACTATAGGTAATCTTGACCCTATGTATATTGAAAAAGATGTAACATAGTATTGGTCATGCAATGCATTGAAATTAAACAAGCAAATTTTAAATGAAACTCCAGGTAAAGATTTATTTAATAAACAAATAACAATTTATTTGGATGTTTTCTACACTGTGTGGTGTTTTTTAATAAAACCTTTGAGAAGAAGGGAAAAGTTAGTACTTAACTTTGTTGCAGAATCTATGTCAGCAAAGTGGGAAATGTCAATTCAGTTGATGAGTTCACAATGTGGAATCCCTCCTCCAACTGATGTTCCTTTTATTATGATTTGTATTTATAGTTTTCAGTTAGCAGGTGCTGGCTCACAACAAAGCCCTTCAAAAATGTGAAGGAAGTGCTGTCAGTAGTCAAATAATAATATGAATTTTATTTTCAAATATTTTAAAACGCCACCAGAAGTGCCACAGAGAGGCTATATATAAATGTCTGATTTTGGTCATTTGACTTCCGACTTTGAGATGGTAACTTCAGGTCAACCCAACAACTCAGCAATGCACACTGTCTGCATACATATCTATGGAGCTCAGTCTATCCCATTATGCTAGATAGCCCTTGACCATACAAGAAGATTCATCTGTTATTTGACAGGTCTCCTTTATAATCCTGCCAGGTGTCTAGCCAGTTTTCTCACCAGAAAAGCTTCGTGGGGGAACTTGTTTAGTCACCAGTAATCCAAACTATGTGGCAGGTAGCACTGAGTTACATGATACTAATGAATAATATATATCATAAAATTCAGCAAATGAAAAATTGATTTGGTAATTTATCAAAGGCAGTTATCCAAGAATCACTTGCATTTCTCTGTTTAAATCAAATTTATGACATGTAAAAAAAAAAGTTTCACTTTAATTTAAAATAGATTAACCTGTTGTTGTTTATACAGTAGCTTAAGGTACTGAATTTCATGAGGGCCATAATTTTCAAAGGATGATTTGCCGAAGGAAATATATATATATATATATATATATATATATATATGGATGTGGGTGCCTGAACAGACCTGAGCAAGAAAATCAAGGAGGCTCCCAAGCTACTTTCCATCAATAGTTGAGAAAGAAAAGTCACATTATCAAAAGCTTCAGCATGTCCGTGAAAAAGTGCCATATTGTGCTGCTGGTGGTTTGTTCCAGAGAGTTTCAACTTTGAGACTAATAAAACTGGAGGTCAGTTGTTCACTGTTTCTTTGACAATCTTTTGCACTATTTCTGTGTTATCAGTACTTCCAAAAAGGCTGGATGATCCTGCACATGCTTTCACCACTATAATCAAATCCTCTGTGTGAATTTTCTGACAACTTGCATCAAGAGAATTAAGGATATTAATGGAAGTCTTTAGCTGGAGCTCTACACACTGGCGACCACTGGGTGATGGCCATTCTAGCACAAACCCTTGAGCTTGGCTCAGGTACAAAGACAAGCTAAAGAGTAACCTCTCAGCTGTCAATGTGCCTCATACTAACTTTGAGTGAGTTGCTCTGGATAGAAATAACTGGAGATATTTGTGCCCAAGTAGTATCAGAAATTTCAAAATCACTTGTATTGACTGACAATAAAGAAATGAAAGACAATGGCAAAAAGCATCAACAAATATTCCTGTGATCCTTGTTGCACAATATGTGGACTTGTATGCAGGTCACTAGTGGGACTGAAGTGTCACATATGGCACAAACATAAAAATTGAATGAGGTTGTTGGATTCTTATACTTTGAATTTGATGGGAAGTTCAATCATATATATATATATATATATATATATATATATATATATGATGAATTATGTAAGAATTTGTTTAATATGAATTATGTAGGAATTTATTTCAAAGCATACACACACAAAACAAAAAAAAAAGTTTTTAAATAAAATTTTACCAAATCTTTTTCTAAAACAGCATTTTCTACAATCTGTTGAGCATTTTTCTTGTCCTCCAAGATCTCATGAAGGTTTTCCTCTAACTTAGAACTGAAGATAAAAAACAGACATGGAAAAATTTATCCGATAACTTTCAAATTACAGAATACTGAAAAACTTTTATAGAAAAACCATTTGTTTACTATGTAGACATTGTTTATAACAATAGCTTCAAAAATGATTTTCATCAGCAAATAGAATATAAAATGATTTCAGATTGTGTTAGTAATTAACATTTGAATAAATAAATGAAAGTTGGTTCAGATAAATATATTCAAAATACTAAGAATGTGATTATTAAGTTCATTTGTAAAAGACATTTTAGTTTCATTATTGTTGACTTAACCATTTGTTCAGTTTTTTAAGTGATTTTTCATACTTTTTGATTTTTAACCTTCCTTGTTTGATATTAAAGATCCTTTTTGTCTTTGAATTATTTTTTCTAAATCACTTGCATTATAATCAAAAGTTATTTTATTCAATACATATTCCTTGTCTGATCAAGTGTATTTTGATAAAAGCTTTACTTCAAAACAGCACTGATGACAGTCAATAAATTCACTTAAATATCAATTTACATTTTTCTTATTTATTTTACTAAATTTAAATTAATAATACCCATATTACAATTACTTTCATTCTCTTTAAGGATAACTTACAGTCTTATTATGCAGAAACGATTCCAACATTTTTATTATTTAGTAATTCAGATATATAAAATTAGTGATTCTGACAGCCAGACAAATGCCATATCCATCATATCAACTTTGTGCTGTTTTAATACAGGATTAAATTAACCTGGTTTTGAGTTGGTTTTGCCATGAGTTAAAGTAAATAGAAGTAGTAGCAGTAGTAGCATAGCAGTCTTTCTTTTTAAAATGATATTGACATGTGTTAAACTCATTTAAAAAGAACTAAATTTTACATTTCCTTTTATTTTTATTACATTTTAGCAAAACAGGTGACTCTTTAAAGTTTAAAATCTATCACCGCTTGAAATTAATATCCCAATTATGAAATTAATTAATTTCATTATTGGGATAAAATACCACAAAATTTAAAAAATTATACAAAAACCTTTGATAACTTACTTTTTTTAGGTATGATAAATTGGATATTAATTAAAGTGAGATATTTTCATAATTGTTTAAACCACAATTTTTAACAAACAGGTTTTTTTGATTTTTTCAAATAATAATAGAGTGATTTTTTAAAACTATCTCTACTTTGATTATATATGCAAAAGTTTCTTTAAATATATTTTACTTTTTAACTGGACAGCTGATTAACAGAATTTCCAACTGATATGTTTTGTTTATTTTTAAAAATAATATTAATGTGTTAAGCTCCTTAAAATTTTTATGAGCATTGATGATTTAAATGAAAGAAGACATCATTTAGTGAGAAAAAGAGGCAAGCAGTTCAAGAATATAGAGAGGAAAAAATAACAAAGCATAATTCAGACTCTTTAAATATTCAGAGAAATGCAAATTAAGCTAACATAAACATTTTTTATGGGTACTATGCTAGCACAAGGGAGGTGCTGAAAAATTTTTGACCTGACACAATTCCCTAAATCTGACCAACAGACTCTTTTTTTGGAAAGGCTCTTTGGTCAGTTTGAGAACTTTTCAACACCATCTAATATGTGTGTGTGTGTGTGTGTGTGTGTGTGCATGCGTGCGTGCATGTGTGTGTAAATATTTGTCAAGAAAAATAGAATTTATTATACACTATAGGCCCAAAGTTTGGGCCCACCCTCCAGATTTAATAATTAGTAAGTTTCATACATTCTTTGATTTAATTAACTTCTAATAAGCTTGTATGCTGAAACTATTTAATCCATTAGTGCATAGCATCCAATCTTTTAGAGAGAGGATAACTTAAAATTTAAAATCTGGCAGCCCTAAGATTGCCATTATCCAGCAAAGTAGATTAGGCAAAAGAACTAAAATTTTAAGGAGACTTTATGCAATAATAGGTTAATTTTGTTATTATTATTATTGAATATATGATACCCATCAAGAAGAAAAAGCCTCTCTAGCCCAAAATGAGCTTGTAAATTACTTTTGAAAAAGGCATGCAACCTTCAGTTTTTAGGTGATTCTTTGAAATCTAAAGTGTTGCCCAAATTTTTAGTCTATAGTGTACACAAATAAAGTGAGTTAGACTCTGATACTGCCCATGAAGTCTGAAGCATCATTTCAAGACATAATATTTATCATTATTTAGTAACACAAAAAGAGAATTCTAATTTCTAAACAGTTTAAACAGTGATCATCTTTTAAAATCTGGAATATTCATGTTTGAAAGTCTAACTACTTGAGAACAAAACAAAGTCATATATTTGTGTTCAACACTAGTGTTGTAATAGTCATATTTCTTTTACCATCAGCAATCTCAAATTCAACCTAACAGAAAAATGTTTTTGTACACAAACCTTTTTTCTTGTTGTATCAGGACCCATTTTTCAAGTTCTGAATTTTTCAAATGAATCTGCTCATTTTCTTGATTCTTTGTCTTCACTCTAAAAAATAATGATACCATAAAATAATTTGGTACATACATTTCTGAATGTAAACAATAACATCTGGATGCAAATATTTTTTTTTTTTTTTTTACAGCTGTTGTCTTTCACTCCTATACACACAAATGGCCTCCAAACATAACCCTGTGTGTATAGGAGTGAAAGACAACAGTTTACTCCAGCCTTGAACAGGTTAAGATTGTAGTGATTAGGGAAACAGCCTGTTGGGAGTTGGTTCTACAGGGCAGTGGTACATGGGATGAAGTGGAATTTACTTCTCACTGATGGGATACAGAGGGAATGTGAGTAGTTTGTTACTGGTGTTTTGCTACTATGTAAGTGGCATGGCATGTTCTTACTGTGAAGATTTGCCTCGGCAGGACCAAGGAATGTAGTTTGTCCAAGCACTTTCTGTGGAAGTAGCGGTAAAGCAGAGAGAAGCTTGCCACATTCTGCCTGCGGGAGGGAGATTGAAGAGTGGAGCATAGTTTGCCGCCCACAAGGTAGACTAAAGTCACTCACTTATTCACAAAAATTAAAAGTGGTTATAAATTATGGTTAATTTTTGTGAACAATTTGATATTTGCTCAATAATTTCATTTTAATATTCTAATTTTGTTATTAAACACCAAAATATAAACAAATGTATTTATGTACCTTCTTGGAAAGTATTTTCAGATCAGTTTTGCCCTAAATATTTCCATTCATCTGGCAAAAATCAATATATTTTTAATTAGAGACAAAAGATTAGGAAATAATGTTTACTTATACTGTTAAAATCCCTACTATTAAAAAAGCATTAAGTTGATTAATTTGATCTTTATTCTTTCTATAATTAGCTGTAACTATTTTTTGATATCATATTTCAGCTTACTTCTTGGTTTAATTTGCATGTAAGATAATACCATCAAGTTCTATAAAACAAGATATCAAATACATAAAATTTCGTCAGGTCATATTTGTAAAAGTACATGAACAACAACAAAATGAAAAATAAAATTCAATATGAGGGGATGCTGAAATGTTCTCAGTCCTACCTACGGATACCTCGGATATTTTTTTTGGAAGAGCTTCTTAGTAGGGTTGAACATTTTTCAATGTCCCATTGAGTATTATAAAAAAACTAAGTTTATTTTCTTCAACCTTGTCATGTTGTTTTTTATGGTTTATCAAACCTTTGTTTCTAATACTTTTTTTCTATTTTTTTAATGCTGAAACAATTCAGATTGTAGGTGGATGCTTAGAGCACCTGCTGTTCCCCATCTATCAACCTTGTCAAGACTTAATACTGGCAAAACATTCAAATTGTAATAGGATTTATAAGGCTAGGTGTAAATGTAGTTCAACAAACTTGAAAGTAATTGATAATTTTAACATCAGATCTTAGAGGTACAAAATCTAATCAATGCTATAAAATGACATATTAAGAAAAAAAGAAAAGGAAATTGGACAAAAGAAATTACAGTTACAATAAATGGTAATATGAAAAGAGAAACATAAAAAATATTAGAAACAGTTGACTGGTTTTCATTCCACTCTCATTTGAACTCAATTGAGGAAATACAATATATAATGACTAAAAGAAAGCAGAGGAAAAATAAAGATAAGAAATACATATAAATCACCGTAATTCACCGAATGATCTCTGATAAGAAAGGAGCAAAATCTGGTCAGTTGTTTTTAATAATTTTTTTCTGTTTATTTCCTATTGCCATTTTATTTTTTAAATATGTCTGTTTTCATAACATTGATTAAATTGATAACATTTCCTTAATTCATTGATTATTATTATTAACGTATTGAGTTTTATTTCTTCTTTTTCTGATTTTGACAAAATACACAACATTAAGGAGAATATATGATGCAAGTTAAACATAGTGATGATCAGAAAAACCATCTGATTCAGGTTTATATTGAAAATATGTCAAAAACATAAATATTGCAATTCATCAATACTTACTCATGTTTCAGACTTGCTACTTGAATCTTCATTTCATCATTCTCGACAGAAAAGCTAGATTCTTTTTTTCTCAGTTCGACCAATTCTTGTTCCTCAATAAATTAGAAAATAAAGTGTTTTAGACCTTTGTGAATACAATTTATTCATTGTACTTGTATAGTAACTTCAATTCATTCTGTGATTAACCATTGCTGTGTTCTTATTCACCTTTGTAATCATTCTATGAAATGTTTTCTTAATTGCACATTTGAAATGCAGACGTCATAAACTCATGCTATGCTTTATATTTCCATCCTTTCCTGAAGTTAAAACAGTCACCTAAAATTAACATATTGTACATTTGCACAATTATTCTGTTTCATTCCGCCAAACATGGATGGGTCATTGTACCAATCATCTGCACCAAATCTTTGTAGTATAATTTGTAAAGTGAATTTTCTTTGTGTGTGTGTGTGTGTGTGTGTGTGCATGCATGATTATTTTGTAAAGATAAGATCATTTGCAGAGGAAAAAGTATACACAATATGACAAGAATTGCCATAATTTAGAGACTTATTGATATTGTTAGACTGACGCATTATTACTAGTTAATGTTTATACTTAAAATAATAAGAAAAATCATACTGCTCCTTGCTTATATATATGTGGACCAAAAAGTCTTCCAACAACAATTTTGACATTTCCATGGGTTCCTTGGATTCTGCTGAAGCTTCGGACTTGGTTGGATTATTTCTTTTATATAATTTAACTGCCTTCGAGTGCCTAGATTCAGATAGTGTAGGATTATATAGAGATGATGGATTATTAGTTGTTAAAACTCAACTAAAATTAAGGTAGACCGTATTAGGAAAATGATTTATAGGGTATTTAAGGATTTAGGTCTTAGGACAATAGTTACTACTAATGTTAGACAAGTAGATTTTCTAGATGTCACCCTAGATCTTGCTAACAATATTTTCCAACCATAATGTGAAGGTTAATTCCAACCCATTATACGTGCATCCTAATTCCAACCATCCCCTTCGTTATTAAACATATACCCTCTTCCATTGAATTTAGAATTAGCATTAACTCTTATAATAAGGAGGTTTTCAATAAACATAGTGATTTTTATAATTCTGCACTGGAAAATAGTGGATACAAAAATACCACTATTCAATATAAAACCCTGTTAATTGCAACCATAATAAGAAAAGAAGATCTAGAAAGATTATTTGGTTCCTCCCCCTTTCAATGTTATGGTCAAAACTAAGTTAGGGCGTATATTTATAAACCTAATCAAAAAAACATTTCCCCAACCCTGAAACTAACCCACTTAGTAAAATATTTAATCCTAATACCCTTAAATTAAGCTATAGTTGTGCTGATAACCTAGAGCAGATAATTAAAAAACATAACAACATAGTCTTTAACAAGTATAGGAATTCAAAAGACTTGACTAATCAACAGGTTATTAACTGCAATATTAATTATAAGAATACAAATAACAACTTATGTAATTGTAGGAATCCGAATTATTGTCCACTACAAAATAACTGTGGGATTACTTCTGTAGTCTATCTTGGTACTATTTCAACAATTGAAAATCCAAATATAAAGAAGTTTTACATTGGTTCTACTATGAAAACATTCAAGGAACGCTGGCGGGGCATATGCAATCCTTTAATCACAGTGAATATAGGTACATGACCTCATTATCCAAGTATTTTTGGAATCTAAAAGATAAGAACAAAACACCTACGATTAAATGGAGTTTGGTTAAGAAAGCTCGTACGTAACTCCCTATATACCCCATGTTACCTATGCCTTAATGAAAAATTTGAAATTATTAGATTTAAAAAACAAGGCTGATCTCTTAAATCAAAGATATGAACTTACAGTAAATTGTAAAACACCGTTATAAATTTAACTTAGTGTAGGGGTCGATACTTTAAATGATAATGATATGTCGCTGTATTTTTAATAGATTAGTATTTTTATTGCATGATGGTCATACTTACGATATAAGTGTGTATTGCTTACATACATAGTGTTATTAGTGTTGGTGTAAATGTGTATATATTTATTTATGTGTTGGTTAGAGTATTTGCACTGTGGAATGTGTAGGTTGGTGTATAAATGTATTTATGTTTTTTTTTTTTTGTTTTTTTATATGTGTGGGTGTATGTGTGGGGTGTGTATGTATATATATATATATGAGTGTGTGTGTGTGTATATATATATATATATTATGTGGGAAGGTAAGGTAGATTATAAGAGAAAAAGTTAATAATTGTTGCTGTATATGTGTATGTGTGTGCCTATATATGTATGTGTGTATGGGTGTGTGTATATGTATGTATTTGTGTGTGTATGTGTGTATATGTATGTATGTATGTAAATATATATATATATGTTTGTATGTGTATGTATATGTATATGTATGTATGTGTATGTAGTTGGATATATATATATATATATATATGTATGTGTATGTGTGTATATGTATGTATGTATGTGTATGTGTATATGTATGAGTATGTACATGTATATGTATGATAAAATCACGGCAGTATAATGGTTGGCCAGCATGGTTCGCTAGATTGGGTGCGACTGAGGTATGAGTTCGTCCCTCACTGGGTACCCCCTAATTTCGGCTTTGTGCCACGATATATTTGTATATATATATATATATGTATGTATATGTGTATGTGTGTAAGTATGTGTGTATATATATATATATGCGTGTGTGCATATATATGTATATATCTATATGTCCTATTTTATTGTGTATGTGTATTTATATTTAAGTATATTTCTGTTTGTATAAATGTGTTTATATATTTGTATGTTAGACTATATGTATATTGCTGTGTGTTGGTGTTTGAAGGTATATTTATGTATCTATATGTTAGTTCGTTTATATATGTATTTGGTTGAATGTTGTTGTATTTTATGTATGCATGTATATATGGGTAGTTGTTATTGTAGATAGATATATTTATTTATATATATATATTTATTTGTAGATATGTGTGTGTATATTTATATATATTTTGTATGTTTGTATGTATATATATGTGTGTGTGTTGGCACCTATTATGTATGAGTTTGTTTGTGTATGTGTGGGTATGGAAACTTTGGTATATCATGACAGTTTTTTTTTTTTTTTTTTTATATCTAAGTATGGGTGCATAAAAGTCTATGTGTATATATGTGTGTGTATGTAGGTTTATATGTATATGTGCGTACATGTGTACTTGTTATCATAGATATGTATATGTACGTATATGTTTATGTTTATATATTTATTTGTATGTATTTCTGTATGTATATGTATGTATGAGTATATTTTTTATGTGTGTTAATTTGTTTTTTGTTGCCGTATATATATATATATATATATATATATATATATATATATGGATTTCTTTATCCTGTTTTTCTTTTGCCTAATATATAATGAAACTATTATCAACTTATATGATTAATAATATATTTTTTTATTGATATTTATGGTTTTAGAATTTTGTTTTAATATTAAATAATATTATTTTAAACATTTTATCTTTGTATATTTGCTCCCTTAAGTTATAATTCGATAAGTGGTTAGCATTTATTTAAGTCTGAAATATTTACTGGTTGTGATTTCTCAATGTCTATGCCATTGTCTGTGGATGTATGTATGTGTATATATCGATGTCTATGTGTATGTAGAGTGTATTCACATTTATCTGTGTGTGTATAAGTGTTAGTTTCACGTCTCCTTTTTTTTCATAAAGGGCTGTAGAGATGTTCATGTATTCCCCACACCTCTCCTTTTTTTATGTGTGTGTATGTTTGTGTGTGTGTGTGTGTGTGTGTGTGTGTGTGTGTGTGTGTGTGTATGTGTGTGTATCTAATTATGTCTGGATGCTTATGTATTATAATCTGATTGTGTTTTTGTTGTGTCACACGTGAGTTTAAGACCATATTCACAAACTTTAAAATAAAAACGGAAAAGAAGGGAAAAGAGAAAAAATATATATACATGTATTATCAAATGACCGGATGTATTGTAGCGTCTGGTCTTCTCGAACGTAATTTCAATGAAGAAATGAATTGAATAAACACATATATATTTTTTCTTTTATCAATAATTTTGTAGTTTTTAAACTTAATAGTGATTAAATTTGGTTTTTAAAAATTGCCAGTTTTTAATTTTAATATTAAATTTTATCATGTAGATTTATAATTATTAGTTAGTATAAATTATTTTTAATATTACGCGTATTTAAAGATATGAATAGCTATTAGAGCAGGATTTCGTTGTCAAGCTTTTGAATCTTTCTATACTTCGTTTTTGATTGGTTATTCTAGCTTTTGTAACAATGTTTCCCCCCAGTGTAGGATCGTTAATTAATCTGAAACTTTTAAAACCATTTATTTTCTTTTCAACATCATCACTTGATAAGACAGAGTGTGTTGAAACAAAATGGCTATTTTTGTAGTGATTTTATAACATACTTATGTTATAATTTTTTTTTAAAAAAATAATATATATATATATATATATATATATATATATATATATATATATATATATATATATATACACGTGTGTGTATGTATGTATAGGATTAATACAAATGTAAAATTTGTTACTTAGCTGATTCATGTTATATTCACCACTCCAACTCTAGAGTGTTGTAGCCGAACCTTTTGGTAATCAATTCTGTCCACTTGTCAGGAGGTTTCAGCAATTGACTGACAATTTTCTCATTTTTGTTATTTTTATACGAAGTTAAAATTTTTTTTCTTTTTGTGAGTGAGTGTGTGCACGTAAGTGGTAGAATAAAATTTATAAATATTTTGAATCTGTGATCATAATAAATGAAGTGAACATTCTCACTCTTTGAAAGACTGGAAGTTAAATGACAGAAAAAAAAAACACAATTGAAAAAACAGGTTTCAGTAAGAAATAAAAAGTTCTTATAAGTCAAGACATGATGTGAGGTATACATGGTGTAATGAACAAAAATAAATTTGTAGCAGTTGTGTTCCCTCGTTGGCATATATGCAGTTTTGTAGATGTTTGCATTGGTCCTGTTTTGACGGAATCTACTAGTTTTGGCTTTACTCTGCTTCTTTTATTTATAAGTGAAAAGATTAATTCCAGGCAGTGTTCCAGTAAATGTTTTTCAAGGGGTTTTCTTTGAATATACAACACTTATGATGTTCTTCCATCAATTTTTATTATTTATTTGATCTTGCTATTTAGATCCTGTCTTTTTTATAAAATTCTTTTTGTTATTTGACTCCTTGTCTTCAAAGAATAAAGATGTTTGCTACAAATGTACTTTAAAAAATGTTTCCTACATTGATTGAATAGATATATGCTTATTGAAAAAACTCTTTGCTTAGTTATAGAAATATCATTAATAACTTTTATAAATTACAATGTTTGTTTCAACTTTGTTTTCTTTTTCTTGCTTTCTCAATTTCTTAGAATATTTTTAAAAAATCATTTTTCACCTGTGAATGTCAGTCTTTTATTTTTTTCTATTGAATTAATTACATCAAAATTGTAATGAGTAACCAACTTGAATATATTAAGTCAGAAAGAAAGTCCTGGCACATTTTTGACATAATCATTTTGAGAGTACTTTTTCAATATTTAAAATAAGAAATAAAAATTTTATTTTTATTCTAGTGTTTTTTCTTTCTTTGCACTTAATATCAGACACTGTATGCTGTGTGAATTAAAAAAAAAGCTCTTCAGCAATAGAAGTGATAGGAGATACTCATTGTGTCTATGGAAATGAAAATAAGTGTTTAGACAGAGAAAGATTATGGCACTAAATATGGGTGTTTTGTCTCCTTATTCTTCTGGGCTTGCTTCATCTGTTATCTTTTCAAATCATTGCAACATTTTTTTAGGAGGAAAACAGTTTATTAATTGTGAAGAGATGAAGATTGATATTGAATGTTTCTTTGTATCAGAACCTGATTTATTTTATCGCTGAAGGATAAATAATTTGCCAGATAGATGAGATCATGTTATCAATAATGAGGGGAAATATTATATTGATTAAATATATCAATTAAGACCAAAGAAAAGCATTTGCTTCTTTTCCAACTTCAAATGCAACAAATTCTAACCTAATATATTTCAGTGTGTTATGTTTTATTTTTTATTCTATTTTCAAATAAAGCAGTGCTTTTATTTAAAATATGAATTTATTTTTGCCACATTGCATTATAGTGAAAACAATATGGCAATCTAAATGCAAAATATTTCCTTATATAATTTGTCAGATTTCACTCTGAAGAGATTGGATAAAGCTAACCTATGAGATTATCATCTGGCCTACAAACAATTTAAGTAAAAATGAAACAATTAATTCTTAAGAAAACCAATTCCTCACTTTCCACTTGCATTTACGTTGCAGTTCTTCAGTGAAGCTTTGCAGAGTGTTGTTCTCAATCTTGAGCTGCATCAACTCACTTTCTTTCTCTCTGTGTAAATATATAAACAAAGCATTGCAAGAATAACAAACATAATTACAAAAATGTTTAGATCAATGCAAAAGTGATACAAGCCTCTTTCTATGTGGGCATGTGTGAAGTACCTACAATGATTTTAATTTACCTCAACATTTGTCTGAATAAATAAGTTAATCAACAACCTCAATTTTACAAAGCAACTTTTTATAAGCATTTTATATTATTTCAGTTTTTCTGAAACAGATTGAGTAACTTACTTTTTGAAGAAATCTAATTTTTGATTTTTGAGGATGTGCATGTGGTGTAATTGATAATGGCTCGAAATGAGAAATCGGAGAGCCAAGTTCAAATTCCAAATGGGTTCATTATATCCACTTACATGAAAATACCCTTAGGAAAGATATGAATTCATCTTCTTCCAGCTATGGGTTAAATGGGTTAGTAGGATGTGCTAGAAAAATCATTGTTATTCTCAAAAAAAACATTGTTAATGAAATATTCACTCATGCAAAAAGAATTATTCTTACAATCCCAAATATGTTTTGACAATAAATAACCCACAAAGGGTTGATAAGCTGTAAAAATCAATCAATCAATTTAATTTTTGAGCCCAAGCGAGGACTTCAAAGTATATTATCACAATTAACCTCTTCAAGTCTAGGGCCAACCATTATCTATCTGTTATCCTACATATCCTCATAATATGGACCTCTTACAACAACTAATTCAGCAACCCTCTACTTTGAGCGGTTGTTGGGCCTTGTATTGGGTGAACAATAGTATAAAAATAAAATGACAAAAGAAGTAATGGTAGGCATGGTAGGGTGTGGCAAAATACATGAATGATCTGGTCTTGTTAAATGCAGTCACACAAAACCAAGCTCTTTAGAGAGAACTATCTCATGTTAGTGCATAATCTACCATAGTCAGAGATAGTGAAAGATGATGGTGTAAACAAAAGAGAGGAGATCATGTGTTTCTTCTTTTAAAATTTCTTGATTCTTTTTGTATGCACACTATGGAGAGAAATGAGCAAATCTTGAAAAATGTAAAGGAAGAGATCATTTGTGCTCTTGGTATAATTTAGATTTAATCAGGGTACATTTTTGTGTGTGATTGTGTGTGTGCATGTATACATAGATATAGATATGTATATACAGGGGTGCACACTTGTGTTTGTCTTGGAAAGATGTGACAAATAGATATTTAGATTTACTTTGCAGATCCTCCAAAATCGAGTGTTCGTTTATCTTCCTTTGACCATAAGAAGATAAAAGAAACAGTTGTAATCTCTACTACAAAAGAAAGGCTGATTCTCTGTCCATTACATACTATCATAGGCCTTGAGATTGAAATGCCATCAAATTCAAGTAATAAAATAAAATGAGAAAAGAACAGTAGTATTACAAATACAATTAGTTTAAACTAGCTTTGTAGTGGGGGGATTAGTGGGAGAAAAGGTGAGGCTAATCAGAAACAGACAAAAATTGTTTCATATTTTCATTAAAAAAAAATGGACAAAACCTTTAAAAAATCATTCAAAAATGTTATTTGATGATATAAATCAGATATTCAATTATCTAGAATTATCATAATTTTCAGTTCTTATCCCAAGTTTTAATTAATTCACCCCAAGCAAGGGGACAATGCCACTAGGATGTAGGGAGTTACAGGAAGTGAAAGAGAATGAGAAGACTTTAGTGAGGAGAACTGAAGAAAAGGACAATAAAAGACAGAAAATGGCAATTGATGCTGCATTTAAATTTTTGAAGATTGCAGATGCCATAGAAGCAAGATATTAGAAGGGAGTTCTAAAGGCAATAAAAGAAACTATTAAAATGGAACATATGCTTGCATCTAGCTAATCCATCAGTAAAATGGTGAGACCTAGTTGCCAACCTAGTAGCATACTCAAATTCATGCAGCCAAGGCACTAAGGAGGAAAGATCTTCAGAACAATTGCAATGAAAATATTTCTAGAAAAGACAGAGAGAATCATGTTGGTGAGAAAGTGACTGAAGTTGAGATGCATGGTCAGGATCAATTACATTACAAATTCTTCTTTAAATTTTGTTAAGAATCTTAAGATAGAAATAGATAGGTTCAATTATTGTTCAGTTGATGAATGCAGGGAAATTTGTCCCGGCTTTCCCACATTAAAGGGTTGCGGTTAAAAAATTGGGTTGAGGTTAAAAAATTGTGACAAAAACGCAAGTAAAAAACAGCAAAATTAGAGTGGACAAATTCTCTCTTTTAGGTGCGGATGAATAAAGAAAAAACTCCTATTCGGTGTGTAACAATAAAAAAAAAGGTAAAGGGATAAAGACAATTAGGAGTGAAAGAAAGGGAAAATAAAATGTCTTTTAAGGGAAGAGAAAATGTTCATAACAGAAAAAAGGCTTGCTCAAAATATTTCTCTGAGCGCCTAAAAAGTTCTTTAAGCGAGTATAATTTTGTTAAGGTTTAGAAACACTCACAGATTTCTTCAAAGTTCCTGCAGAGTAAAAAAATTGTTGGTAGATATAGGAATCTTGCAGTTGAGTGAGTTCATAGGTCGACGAGAAAGTCTTGTAGGTGTAAGGAAGGCAGCTTTCAAATGGTTTTTAGAAGTGGGCTGATGGTCTGTCTTTCCAGCCCAGCAGGAATTTCTTCTTTGGTTGAAAGTGGTTCTGAAGTTGATTGGTGCTTTCTATCGTCAACCTTACAGACGAAGGGCTGAATTCTCACTGCCAAATAGGCATAGATTCTCTAAATTTATGGAGATTTGGGAAGCTCAGAAGGATCAGGGACTTTTCCTTCCAAAATTGTTATACAAATTTCCTGGCCTCTCCATTGGTTAAAAAACAAATTCTTATCTCTGATAAGAATCAAGGCATTGGGAGCTGGTTTTGCAAGTAATGAAAACAAGTTGGAGTGAACAAGCTGTGAGGTATCCCCCAGACTTTATGGCACCATGGAAAGAATAATGGTAGTGGAATTGCTTTTTATATTTTCCAGCTCTCTCATTAGTCAGAAAATATATTCTTATCTCTGATAAGAATCAATGCTTTGGAAGCTGTTTTGAAAGTAAAATGAAGTTGGAGTGAGGATAGAAAAAATAGCGAGAATGTGAACTTGTAAAATATTGTTCTCAAATTAAATTCCAACATGCTCCTTCCTGGTCTTTTAAACAGGAGTAGAGGTTTATCCCTTGTTTCTTGTTTAGGATTGGGTTCCCAATACTTTCTAAAGTATTCTCAGTCTCTTTCACTCCTAATAGCCCCTTATGTCTTAATGGCATTATCACCTTACTTGGAGTGAATTGATTAAAAAAAAATGTTGTAGGTGCACCAGACCAGATATGACAGTAATATTCAATGCACAAATGAATGATAGATTTATAAATGTGCAAGAAGGATTCAGATGAGAAGAATTGTCTGGCACAACACGGCAATTTTCTAGCAGTAGACCTAGCAATTGATTCAATATAATCACTCCACTTCACATCAGTGGAAAAAGTGAGTCAAGAAGGTATAAAGTGTTACTCTCCTGGAGTTTAGCATCAGCCATGTTAGTGGAAGGCAGAAAAGGCTTTCTGTGGGGATTAAATGAAAGCAGTTTAGTTTTGAAGGTGTTAAAATTTACAAGCCATTCTTTGCCCCAGTTAACCAGTGCCTTTTTGAGAGTAGTTGCCAGTTCTAATTTGTCTGATCTGTCAAACTTGATATTAAGACATGATCAAATAGTTGTCATCTGTATAGATACCTTGAACATAAACAGATAATTTGAATGGAATTGAAATGGACATTTATAGGACTAATTTCCATTTCTGTCTGGCAACAACACCTGGATAACAGAAAAAGAGTATAAGCTGAAATATGCAGCCCTTTTAAGTCATTTTATGACTCCTGTATTTAAATTGAATATACTTTCTAATAGAAGCACAGTTGAGTAATGGATAGTGGTTCGGATTGAGGAACCAGAGAGCCTAGTTTGAATTTCAGCCAAGTTCATTACATTCACATGTTAATATCCTTGGGAAAGGTATCAAGCCATTTCTTCACACCCCCTCAGCTATGGGTAAATAGTAAGATAAATTGGGCCCTATAATCTTGGTTGACAACCAGTTTAGGAGAAGGAAAACTCTGAATTCAAAACCAGCCTGGAGAGGGCTGGGCTCCATCAGGCTGACTTGCCCAAGACACACCACTGTTGCAGTACAAGTGGTGCCCTTGTAGCAACTGCTATGTTTTTCCACGCCCACATTTTATTCGTCTGTGATTGGCTAATAAATCAATACTGCCTTTCTATAGGAAAATTTAGCCATCACAGTCGTTGCTTTGAATTTTTCTGTTTTGAACTTGCTTACTTGTTTTGTTAGTACAAATTTAGCGATTGGTCAAATTTTAACCAATCACATATTTTAGTGCAAAATCAACTTTTCCTGCGGTTTTGCTGGGAGCCTACCTGTAGCTTTAAAAAGAGGTGACTTTGTCACAAGCTGCCAGTAGAGTCCAGCAAATTTCGCCTGTCAACACAAACCTATGACTTTACTCACAACATTTCAAATGCACACAGACACAGAATTTTGTAATACATATATACATATCTCTCTGTGACTCAGCCAAGTTCAATCAACCAGGACTCTGTTGATTTCTCTAACACAACACACTTTCTGATCAATTGTATTCTTGTGTTATCTATTCTAACAAACAGTCCTTTGTTCTAATATTGATTCCTGAACATTTTTCTCTCACGAGAACTTTCTTTCGAACAATCAAATACAAATCAAAATACAGTAAAAGAGAAGCAACTTCTTTTCCCTTAATCTATACATTGAATACAAATTATTGTATATTTTTCGTTTGTGTATGTTATTTCAATATATACTTGTTGATTCACATTTAGAGTTTCGTTGTTTTTTTGAATCATTAATAATACAAAAGATATATGTGTTAAAGAACACACCCCATAACACCCTTACGATCCTAAGAGCTTATGAGCTTTATATGATACATTCTAATAAACAGCATTTTAAATGGACAGACAATTTAGATTTGAATTTGATCATCAACAAAATGACAGATACCAAATTAGTGATGATGAAGCAGATGGATGAAAACAAAAAAATGTAAGAAAAATGATAGGAAGTAACAAGAGAATTGGTGATAAAAGGGAAAGACACAAATAAAAGGAACTATAATAATAATAATAATAATAATAATAAAGATAACATACTTGAGCTTATTTTGTAAAGGTTCAATTTCAGCCACAATATTTTGCATGGAATTCAGATACTCATTCTTCACCTGGAATATACAATTTTGATACAAAACATTAATCTTCCACATTCCTGTATAAAATATTGTGTTCATTTTAGTACTGCAAATTAATAAAATAATTTTAACAATTTATGAATTTATTAAATTGAGTAAAATTTTTTTCTTCCTTCTTAATAAATATTAAATTATGAATTTAATAGGTAAATATTCTTTTTAAACCTTTCCCACACCACAGGCGAAATTTGTCTCCACAGAATTCTCTCCTTTTGGTACTCCAGGTGCCTTCTGTCACTTCATCAGGGTTAAATAAACATTTGTCAATTATTATTTCCGGTATTTTAACTTGGAAATAATCTCATACCATCTTGAAATAAGGCTAAACTTCCGTTTTCCAACGCCATTTTAAATTCTTCTTTACACGTGTGTAACATCAAATAAACCCGCAGTAATTTTGTTTTTGGTAACAAAAATGGCCACTGGAAAATCGAACGAAACCTTTATTCGGAAGTCTTTTTTATTCTGACTCCGATGGTGATTTTGAGGGATTTACTCAGGCGGATATAGATGGTGAAGTTGTCAGAGACGGAGAAGACAGCCACACTTGTGACGAGGAAGAAATTAGAAAACTATGATGACCCCGAAACGCTGAATGACTATTAGCATCCCTGGCTGACTAATTTCTTGGAAGCTTCTGAATCCATGAATTTATTTAACCATTTAACTTCTTGTTGGACTCACAAAGTGGCTGTCATTTCACTTATACTGGTCAATGGAAGTGCTTATTCAAATGTCAGGTTTTAGAATTTTGTCCATTTTTTCATTTATCTGACAATACAAAACCGAGGAACCACCCTGAACATGACAGGGCATTCAACTCTTTTTTTTGTTTTCAGTGTCAAAGCATGCAAAATGTAATGCATTACATCAAATTATTACTCATCCATTCTTTTATTAGTATACAAAAAATTAAATCTATACACACAATACAATGAAAATTATAATAATTTTAAAACAATAGGTGCTCCTGTTTTTTGTGACATCAAAAAGAATTCAGTGACAGTGGGAACAATTCTACAAGGAATTTGGTATGGTAAAGGTTTAAAGATATTAAAATACAATTAATAATAATAATACATTTTTTAGGCTATGGAATGTAAATATTTCAACAAATTTCATGACTAATGAGGACATATATTCAAGAATTTACCTGACTTGTCTGCTGCTCAATTAGGTCCCATCGTTGACTACTCTTGGCATTCTACAATGATAATCAAAAAGACAATACAAAACCTAGTTTATATATATTATATATATATATATATATATATATATATATATATATATATATATATAGTGTGTGTGTGTGATAGAAATTATTAGGAAGATTTGAGATAATTCATCAAGTCAAGAAGAAACCTCAACAGAATGCAGAAAGCACTGGATGACCATTTTGTCCTATATTTGGGACTCATCAGCAGTGCGCATCCACTACTGAGAATTGAACCCAGAGTGTTACGATACAGCGCAAATATATATATATATTTGTGCTGTATTGTAGTAGACAATCAACAGCAGAACACACTCAACCTTCAAAAAAAAAAAACGAGATAAGCCCCCAACCAGGACACTTGGATGGGGTTATAGCATCCCTAATACGGAACATGATGCAAGCTTTCGAGCTTTTATTAAAGAACATTGCCATGCTTGCAAATACAAACATGACCCATACGGTTATATATGTTATAAATTTAAGTAACAGTAAATTTTCACTCAACACATTCAGGTTATTAAATAAAGGACTAAGCTTTTGCCGTAGTCCCCCAAGGTTTGATAAAGACACCTTGGCAAATGATCTGAAATCTTTCTTCAAAAGAATATGGCTAAAAGCCCACTACGAGGGCAATAATCGCACACTTTACATACTTGATACATTAAAAAAGAAGGACTCTACATTCACCCCACAAAACACGGACATTACTATACAGACATTTGAAATGGCAGTAACAAAAACAAATGACATAAAGAAAACAATAGCATGTAAGCTGCCACATAACAATATAACTGAAGGGGAATGGGTAGCCCTTGATATGCTGACACATAGAGATGACCTAATCATAACACAGGCTGACAAAGCGGGTGCCACAGTGATCTGGGGAATCAAAGAATATATTAAAGAGGCCAACAATCAGGTAGCCGACAAAGAAACCTATAAAAGCTTATCTACAGAGTATTCCCAAATACCAAAAAAACTTAACTAGCTCACTAAACATGATGCTTCGCAACAATCTAATCGACAAGGAAACATGCACAACACTTACACCCACAAACATCACACCTGCTCATTTCTATCTCCTTCCCAAAAAACACAAAAACAACAACTCAGGAAGGTTGGTCATTTCATCATTCAACTGCCACACAACCAAAATTTCCAAATATGTAGACCATTACATACAGCTCCTAGCTAAGGAAGTAAAATCCTACATCAGAGACATAGCAGAACTACTAAACATAATTAATCACACAAACAGTGCTAGAAAATGCTGTTCTAGTGACTATGGATGTAAAATCACTTTATTCAAACATTAAACACATCCAAGGACTAACTGCCCTTAAGGAAGCACTTACTAAAAGAAGAAAACAAGACCCACCCACAGAAGTTATCATAAAGCTCATGGAGATAATTGCATTGAATACTTTCAACTTCAATGGAGCACACTACCTGCAAGTAAGAGGCTGTGCCATGGATACCAGAGCAGCTCCATCATCTTATGCTACAATCTTCATGGGAAAATTTGAGGAGACCCATATCTATCTCCTCATTGGTAGTGACTGCGTATTCTATGCAAGATATATCGATATATTCTTTGTATACACAAGCAGTGACAACAAACTTACCCAATTCATCATGACCCTAAACACAGTACACAACTCACTTGTTTGACTATGAAAATTTCCTCAAGATTGGTAACATTTTAAGACACCCGCATTTACATAGATGAAAACAGAAAACTACAAACAACACTACACACTAAAATCACTGACACACACAACTAAATAAACACATCCAAAATCTCGAGCATCAATTCACAACACGTGGCTATAAACAACACCTAATCAGGGAACAAATAAATAAAGCAATTTCCACACCTATAGAAGACACCCTAATGTACAAGATTAAAAATAAACCCAGCCGCATCCCTCTAGTAACCACTTTTAACCCCGCTTTACCTCCACTATCCCAGATAATCAAAAGTCACTGGGAAATACTACATCTCAAACCAGACCTAAAAAAATTGTTTGAGGAACACGGCCTTCTAGCATATTGTAGGCCTAAGAACCTAAAGGAAATTATAGGTAGTAACCACATTTCAGGGGATAAGGTAATTCGTAATAAACCAAAAACAAAAACAACAGGATTTTCCCAACCATGTAAGAACAAAAGGAGCTTATGCTGTAACCACATTAGACACATCAATTTGTTCACTAGCTCAGACACTAAATCTACTTTCAAAATCTACCATAACTCTAACTGTAAAAGTAATAACATAATTTACCTCCTAGAATGCACACTATGCCAGAAACAATATGTAGGAAAATCTGAATGGCCCTTTCACTACAGAATTAATAATTATCACAATTGAATTAAGTTGGCTCCCCTTGAAAGATTATTACCTGTAGAACATTTCCACCTACAAAAACATGATTTTAAAACCCATGCCAAATTCACTATAATTGAGAAAATGGAAAAGTTCAGAGCAGATAACATGAGAAAAATTTTAGAAGACCATGAAGATAAGTGGATTCTGTGCCTAAAAATGCTTCATCCAGACAGGCTTAATCATAAATTTAACAATATAGATAGAATATATAACCCCACAAATCAGGCCCTACCCACATTTCTCACCCACACAAGACAGACATGCTTGCAGAGGTGTTGAGGCCTCACACTTATACACACACCCATACTAATATACACACTTACACACATCATACTTACTCACTCCCCAATGAGCTAAATGATAACACATACCCATACTAATATACACACTTACACATATCATACTCACTCAATCCCTAAGAAACAAATAACACACATACTTAACAGAGACATATCCCTTTCCAGGAACCAATAAAACTGTCAAAATGACCAAGTGAATTCAGAGCAGCATCCATCTATCCAGCCCTTATCTTAAACAACAACTTAAAAGAGAAATGAAAACTACAGATAAAGTTCATTTTCTCCAAGTCATTCATTTCTGTAGTTCACAGCTACTAACAAGCAGAATTTTTTTTCTCCTGATGATGGCCATGCTGGCAGAAACTAGTTGAGGAATCTAATTGAAATAATAAAAATGTAAGAATATTAATATACAACCCAGTGGCTGAAGATTTTAATTTTTTAATATTTTTTATTGTTCAAAACATATGTGTATATATATATATATATATATATATATTATAAGACAGTGTGTAAAACTTCAACATGTTTCAACCAATGAGCCAGCATCATTAGAAAAAGGTTTATTTCACAAGAACAAAATCTGGATTATCAATTTTATTGTATGAACTCATGATCAGTACATACTCCTTTCTTGGATCACTGATCCTAGAAGTTTTTGAGGGTTTAAATTTTTCTTGGATCAAAATGCATTGGTGCTTATGTTTTATACCAACAGCTCTACTTGCCTCTCTCTTAAAAGACGTTGCCAGGTTTAAATGTAAGCCAAATGAACTTAAAAAAAAAAGACAAAATTGAGATATCACCAGCAAAATCAAATGTTTTATCTGAAATTTTGAATTCTCACTTATGAATTTTCTTGGTCTGAAAAAGTTATTTAAATATCAGTGGTGCTAACAATTTACATATAGTACTGTCATACACCCAGTTTAATTTAGAATAAGAAAAAATATTCTTTTCCAAGTTACATGAGGTTGAAGAAATGCAAGGCCTTTTGAAAAAAATTTTGAAAGAAAATAATCTATTTATTACTGCAATTTTTCAGCAAAACTAATCACATTGTCAATAAGCTTTCTTATGAAACCTCAAAGGCAAGGATTGATAGATATTACTCACCTGCAATTCAGTGGTAAGATGCTTTACTTGTTTCATCGATTCTTGATACATTTCCATCACTTTCTCCTTTTCCTTTAAGAAAATAATGGGATTAGGTTCTTGTTATTTAAAACATGATTATACTGGCTTTCATAATTTATTTTGATATATTTTGTTTAAATGTTTTTCATTAAGTAGAATTTTTTAATGCATTAATAATTTTAAAAAATGGATAATTTAGGTACCTCCAAAAATTGCTAAAAATGAAAAAAAATTAATAATACATAATAAAAACAAAGTTTTATTGACAAAATCTTTGTGCTATTAAGATGAAAGATCAAAGAATTTTTTCATGTAAAAATTATTTTTTTATCCTTTTTAGAACCTTGGAAATTTTGGTTGAAAATCTTATTTTTCTGGCATTGATGTGGGACCATAAATTTGTATGGGAAATCTGAATGACTTTTTGCAGTGAAAAATATTGATTTGAAAATTCTTGCAAAAATCAGATAATTGTTGGATTATTTTCAGGATTTATTCAGAAATGAATGAAATTATTTTTGAAATAAAATTTTTGAAATATTTCTTTTTAGAAAATCTTTGTGAAAATATTTTTTCCTTTACATTTGTTACCCCCACCCATTTAATTTCATGAAATTTCAAGAAATTCTTTTTTGTAGCACTTAAAGTAAGTCCTTGAATAGTTTAAATCATTAAATCTTTTTGGTCAAACAGGACCCCAGTTACAGAAAATCAGCCATGAATTGTAAAATAAAAAATGCAATAAAACTAAGACATTATTTTATTAGAAAAGATTTGTCTTATGAATAAAATATATTATGAACGCTATTGTCTTAAATTAATTTTTACAAGAATTGCATTTCTTTTTTTAAAATTATAATTGGAATAATTTATGAACTTTTGATTCTTTTAAAATTCTGTATTAATTTGTAGCACTCAAATGATGTTATTATTAAACTAAAACTGTATTTACTGATCATAAATGGAAAAGCTTGCTACAATTCAATGACCCCTGCCCAAATTATTGAATTTATTTTATGTGCATATAAATGTGTTGATTTTTGTAAATACAGACACCCATATATGAAATTTTCAGCAAATAAGAGCAGTAACTATAGTAAATTCAAAATCTATTGATAATTTTCTAACATTTCCTCAACAGGCATCTTTTTAAGGTGATAAAACCAAAGTACCTTAATAAAAAATATTAAATTGCTTAAAATATTTTCTTAAATTTTTTTCTTATACTGGGTAGTTAAAAATTTTCTATATAAAAAAAAGTGTTCATGTTATATTCATCCAGTAATTTTTAGTTATGTACCTCTTAGTTAAATTTCCCAAACATCAGGCTGTAAACATCTCATAAAAACATCCACCTCCATGTTAAAAAATATTTTTCTGTGATATTTTAAACTAAAAGTAACATTTGTTTCAATTCAGATTAATTCAATTTTAAATCAGCTAATCTTCTTCAGTTAAAGTTTCAGAAAAGTATATTTTATTTCTGAAAGATTTTTAATAAAGAGAATTATGTTGTGTTAACAAATTTGTCAATACGAACAATTTTATAGATTTTACTGGTAATCAGGAAAAAAAAGCAATGATCTCAATTTAAATTCAGTTTTGAAATACAGTAAAGTATTTAGTTTATTGGAAATATTAAATTTAATCTATTAGCTTGGAATTAAAACTAAAATAAAAGCTTCAAAAAATTCTTTTTTTCAAATGCATTTTAAATATTAGGTATCGCTTTCTTTTTTATTATTAAAATTTTTGCAAATATTTCAAACATTAGAATTCAGATTTGGTTATTCAAAAAAAAAAAAAAACCTTAGTCTTTTTTGTGACACTGAGGCCATGAAGTAGTTAGATGTTGATTCCAAGCAAGAAAGGGTTAAGCCCAAAATAGAATGTAGGCTGAAAGAGGGTGGAGACATTTTTCTTGGTGAAAATGGGACTGTCTGGATTTCTACTCTCTGAGTTTAGTTTTTTTATCTTTCAAGAATCTAGCATATGGACAAAAACAGATTTGGTGAAATGGTTTTATCTTTTCCTTGAGAAGTTAAGAAAACATATATCATTAATGAGAAAAGAGACAGATGGGGCTTATATTTTCATTGGCAAAAATGAATTGGGAAATTTAAACAAAGAATGAACACTTTTTGAGGGTCGAAGCTATGATATCAAACCCCTGTCATTGACAAGTAGGTGACCTGATTTATATTTTCACTAGATAGAGATCCCAGGTATGGAGAAATAATTTTATCTCATCCTGGAGAATTTAAACAAACAAATATCATTAACGAGAAAAGAGGCAGACTGGGCTTATATTTTCACCGACAAAAATGAATTGGGAGATGTAAACAAGGAATGAACCCTTTTCGAAGGTTGAAGTTATGAAAACAGACCCTGTCATTGGCAAGCAGGTGATCTGGTTTAGGTTTTTGCTAGACATAAATAAGTCTAAAAATGGAGAAATAATTTTATCTCTCCCTTGAGGAATCAAGAGAATTAAAATTAATGAATAGAATAAAACTATGCCCTTTCACCCACACACTTTATAAATTAGATTTGTCACATAGACAGGCTAAGGTTGAATGCTGAGAAAGAAGGAGGAAGTGGGAGAATTTGGCACCACCTGTGTAGAGTGGTGGTGTGAGATGTAAAGTGAAGCAGGTTGGAGTTTAGGGGAGCAGCAATCCCTGTAACCACTCCTGAGAAGGTGGATAATTCTCCAAATTTGAAAAGTTGATTAAGAAGGCAGAAATAGGGGATAAAGAATCCTTATTGGAATTAATGGTAAAATTGAAGAATCAATGAATCCCATGAACCTTTTGGCCCCCACACCAGTTTTGAGCTAAAGTGCATATAAGCAGATAGCTTTGAGAGTTTGAAGACTTGAGCTGCAAATCCTGCATCAAGTGCCTGTGGAATCCATGTCACCTGCCACCAGATTTCCTCATTCTGAAAAACTTTGAACCCCAAATATTAGTCAAGGTACAGTGTCTATTGATGCAGAAAGGGTTAATTTTTGTTGTACCAAGAACTATATAAACCAAGAGAAGATTAATCCAATGAATCTTTCCTTTTTCATTTTTTCATTGTAAAGATATCTCATATATAGCACTCACCACAGCTTGAACCAGTGCTGCGATTACTACATTCAATCTTCCACTGTTCTGAGATCAAGAACACAATGTGGGCAGTGTGGATCAAAGCAGACAGTGACCAACAACCAGCTTGGACCAGCATCAGCATTGACCAGTGCAGAGTTAGTCCAGTGGTTAAAACATCATCCTAAGACCCTGAGGACCGGACCACTAAATGAGGTTTCATCACCGAGTATAAGCAGTGGTAAAAGGGGTTATATTTTTAATTAAAATAATTTATACATATATTCTGAGAATATGCGAAGATAATGTTGTCAATTATGTCTGTTAATTTTATAGCTTAATACTTTTTATTCATAAAGCATAAATCTTATAGAATTGTTAATGATTTAATGAATGAAAAAAATAACTGTTTTTATTACAAAATATTCTGTACATATATAAGTATCTAAAAGGGGAAAATTATTTTTCTCACGAAAAATAAGCCTTCATTTCTTTCAGATACAATAGATTACAGTAAATGTTTGTCTAAATAAAAAAAAAATTAAGGTTATATTAATAGTGAAAAGCTTTCACCTTTGAGACCAAAACCAGTTGTTTTTTCATGTTTTCTACTGCTTTCAGATCAGCATCCGTCTCTATCAGAATGTTAGGCAAGGAATCCACTTCCAACTCTTTCAAATTACATAGCTTTTCTCTTAAGCTTTCAAACAAAAGGAAACAAAAGAAAATATACAAATAATATTTAAGTAAAAAACAATTTTTTCTTAAGCAAATTCTTAAGCAATTCTTTAAAAATGTCATTTTTATTAATGAATTCATTTAGCCCTCATTTTACATAATATGCTTTGTAGTGTGAGAAATTTGTGCAGTTACAAAGGACTTGACAAAGAAGTCATCTATGAAAAATTAAAATTTCATTACCATTGCAATACAGCTATGGTCATTAAATGATGACTAATATTGATTCCAAGAATGATTATATAAACTGATTCCTAGATAAATAAAAATCTACATACAGACATTTGATGGACAGCTTGATTGTAGAGTAATGGACTAACTAAAATAATGAATGCTAAAAATTTGTTCTTCAGTTCCTGGACATTGTTACCATAAATTCTCAACAAGAAACGAAGAAATTGACTACAAATCATAATAAAATTTTTCTTGTTTTATAGCAGTTGATCTAGTACCTATAAAATTCATGTTCTTTTCATGCTTTGCCCTGCTGGTTGTTGGCTCTCTTAATATGCTTACACTCAGAAGGATCACTCTTAAGCAGGATGATATAATTCTAAGATGAACCAAATGAAAAAAAATCATCATGTTTTTATGTATAAAATAATTGAGAATTCAGTTTTAAATACTGACCTCCTTTTTATAAGAGTGAAAAATAAAAATAATGATCTTTAAACTGAAAAATTTACAGCCTATCAGTAAAAACATATTCAAAATTTTTTACACATGTATTATTTTTTAAGTCCTAAAAAGTAAAATATACTGACATTTGAAAGTAACAGAAACTTTTCAGTTCCTGAGTTTTAACCTAGCACTATATATTCCATTGAAGTTACCATGTAGCAATATATATTATTTATAGTAGTATTTGCAATACAGTATTGGAATAGTCCTGACTAGTATGTGCTATGATTGTACTGTTCAATGGAGATGTACATGCAGCTACCACTCATTGGCACCCAGCCCACTGAGTCTTCCCGTCAATAGGCCTATGTTGTCTCATCATTTCCATTGGGTGTGGTCATAGGGTTGCTGCACAGTTGACCAGTTCCTGCCATATCTCAGTAGGTATTCATACATGCATAGATTGTCTTGGGCAAAACACACATGGAGCCCATTCCTCTCCAGGTCAAACCACAGCTGAAGGCTCACTTTGGTCACAGACATATAGCCATTGATTCCATCAGGGGAACTCTCCACTCTGGTCATTAACCTCAGTCTAGGAAGCTCTTTATCTGTACTGGATACATATGGAGTCCTGTCTATCCCATTGTTGTAGATGGCTGTTGACCCTACAAGAAGGTTCATCTGCCCCTTGACAAGTCTTGTTCTTAATTCTGCTAGATGCTCTTTGCCAGAAATGCCTGGTGGGGAAACTGGTTTAGTTGCTGATGACCTGACAGTATTAGATTTCAAGGTACTGGTAGCACTTGTAGAGTGATCTAACATAATTATGCTATTTACTCATATTTAATTATTACATGAGATTTTGTTATATGTTAGAATGGATCTGTGAACTTTTTGATTGTTGACAAATTCGAGCTATGTTCCACAATTTTGTGTGAAGTTCAGCAAACCTGCTATCAAGGCTCTCAAAATGCAATGCCAGGCTTTTGACAAACATTCTTTACATTAAATAAAAAATTTTAAGTGGTAGAAACATTTCAAGGCTTGTCAAGTAAATGCCAGTTTAAGATGATAAACCTACAGGTGACCAATTACCAGCAAAATGCCAGAAAATAGAGAAGAAATTTGTGAACATTTCTGAGGATGCTTTCTAAACAAACTCTTTTACATGATTGGAAAGACAGAATCTGCCAGGAGATGATTGTCCAAGAACATTTTGATACTACCTAATAATGTTAAATAATAGTTTATTTTTTAGAGGAAGTGTATCTCTGCTCTCACTTCCTGAGGTTGACTATGCAGTCATATGCAAGCCAAAATAGGAAAGCTGATTTTGATTGGCTGAGCTAGCATGGGAAGGATAGATAGAGAAACGTTTTTCAGCAAGTTGTTTCTTGACTGACTGTCCAGCGATGTAGACACATTCTCTTTCATGTCTGAAACGGCTCTCCAGTGAGGGGGGAATGATCTCCTCTGGATAGTTAGTAGATGTCAACATTAATAAAATAGCTAAGTTAAAATTATCTGTGTTTGACATCCTTTCATCTCTGAAACAAAACATCTAGCGAACATTGGCCAAGAGAAAGAAGATACAACAATAATTTAAAATCCTTCATGGTGTATAATTATTTTGATGACTAAAATTCAAATTGAATGAATGTGAATAGTAAAGTTTCTCAAAACTGTTAATGACAAACAAGTAATAAAACTATCTGAGTGGAAATATTGAAATTTCTCAGCAAGTTTAGGGAAAGAGATTATAAATATACTAGCAATGTAAACTGTAATATGGGTAAGATTTATTAAATATCTCAAACTTGTCACATACTAATAATTACATATATAGTAACACAAAAAATATTAAATTTATAAAATTTCATACATGTCCTACTGCAAAAACAACAGCTGTACTGCCAACAAAGCCTTTATAATAATAATAACCCCAGGAGTCAGGCATGGCTTCATTACCACACTAATCCAGGGCAACTAAACAGTACCATCAGAATGTGTTGGTTTTCTGTTACAGTATAAAAATGCAGTAATGAGCAGAAGGTGCAACAACCCCAGACATCCATATCAAGAGGGCATCCAATCAAAAAGTGAAATAAAAATTTAGATTATATTTAATTTGAATAAAGTGTTTATTTCATGTTTCATCTGTTTTTACATATTTAAAATATTTTTCTTTCTCACATTTCTCAGTACTAGGCCCTATAGACTCCCCACCTTCAAGTCTTAGGGGCATATAATCAAGGAATTGGCCCCGGGCATCACCAAACCTTTGCGTGTCACTGTAAGAATATCAGATGAAAATGCAGCCTCATCATATATTTCCTTCTGTGTTCATAACTTTCTTATCAATATTCATGAACTCAATTGTCACATTCTCAAAAATAAAACATTGTTTTAATGAGATGAGTTTTAAATTAATTGACTAGATGACAATTTCAAAATGGTGAATGTTTAAAAGAAATTGCAGGTGAGACATTTTTCTCCATAATCCACGCTAATATGACTGGCACACTTTTTAACTCATGTCAACAATCAAAAGAATCCTGTTTACTGGGGTTTTACTGAAGGCAAATGTCAAAATGTCTATAGTACAATTATTGTTTGAAATCCAAACCATTGAACATTTTTTCCTTAGTAGTAGCCTCTTAGAGTATTTAAATTCAATTTTAAACTTTTCAGTGTAAAACTACCATACATCATCTCGGCTCTATGCATGCTTTTGATTAACTTACACTTAAAAGAAATAGAAAAATAATGTGATTTTTGTTTGAATTGCTGCTGTAAGGAGTTACTGTTTACATTATTTACATTTGGACTATTGTCTTCATCTTTGTTGTTATTATGACAATGCTTTTTCCAACCTTTTTTAAGTGTCTGCCAATCTGGGAAAAATTCAGTAGAACTAAATAAGAACAAAACAAGATACCCCTAGATATGGAGAGCAGGACTATCGATCCCCATAGATAGAATAAAGTATTCAGTTCAAAATTCCCTTATTAGTAATAATGGCCATTTCCTTACTTGTCATTCATTAACTAAGCAGCTAATTTTACTATTGGTTAACATTTTTACAAATCTATTAAAACAATTTTTCAGGGAAACATGGATTGACAGATCCCTAAAAAAGTTTGGAGGGCATAACAGCTGAAATATTGTGATATTAACAACAAATATGAGAACAATATTCTGGATGTAAATAATATGAACAAAAAATTGTTACTGCCTTTATTAAATTATCCAATTAAAACAAACTGTGAAATTCATTTATGAGGCTAAGAAATAAATGAAAATAACTTAAGTAATATTAAAGTTTAAAAAGTAGAATTTGATGGTTAACCACTGAATTTTACAATGTTTGACCAAAAATTTAAGAATTTTGACCTTTACTTGAGTTGCTTAATGTTTGCTTAATTTTTTTTATGCTTGAGTCTAATAGAAATGAAAGATATTTCAATGTAACTGAACTAGTAAAATTGATAGAATTCTTGAATCTTACTTATTATAAAACGCAGATTGTGTGTGTGTGTCTGTAACGTTTATATATTGGATCGGATTTCCTACATTTTTCAACTGATTTCAACAAAACTTCACAGGACTACATAAAATTACCTTGTGGTGGTTCTAACAGCGCCAAAAATGGGAAAAATACAATTGTTTTTGCACAAAATAAATTGGAAAACATGATTAAGAGACATCGTGAGAATGAAAGGGGAACAACTCACATCGGGTTAAAAAACCCAGGTTGTTTGTGTGTGTGTGTGTGTGTGTGTGTGTGTGTTCCTTTATATATGGGATCGGATTTCCTACATTTTTCAGCCGATAAAACAAAATTCACTTTTTTTTTTTTTGGCAGGTAGTGTTTTTTTATTCTCTTGCACACTTTTTTTTTTTTTTTAATATTCAGAATGCTTTAAAAATTCCATTTACAAGACAATTGTTTATAATAAAATTCTATTCAATTGGGAGACTCATAACGATTGAAAACAATGTTTTTGTTCGAGTTTGGGTTTGACCAATTCGTAAAAAAAAAAAAACTAATTAAGACATGCGTGTCCGTCAACCTTAAATAATAATCTTTGTCAATTTTATTTTTCAGTCTTTATGATGGTCGATACTTGATCTATCTCTTACTGTTACATCCCCAGGCAACGCCGGGCTCTACTGCTAGTATAATATAAAATAAAGGCTTTAGCAACTCTTTTTCTTTAATTTACATTTTTCTTTTTTGTCACTTTCTGTTTCTGAGTTGTATATGTCACATTAATGCCAATAGTTTCAATAGTTTAGTTGTTTAAGATCTAGATATAAATATTGTCTAATGTAAACATTACTGACAAAGTCATTATATGTATAATTACTAAAAAAGAAAAAGAGCATTATTTACTCACTCATCATTTTCTTGTATTACTTTTGAAAGTTCTTCTTTTAATTGAGAAAATTCTGCAGAAATGGACTGAAAATAAAAGTTTTTCAAATATTTTATCAACATAAATATGGGTGGAATAATAATACTCATCTATGAAATAATTCTGTCTTTCAGCTAAATGTAGAAAACATTTAAAATGATAAGTGACTCACTGTACCTGTATTTGTTCATCTTTTTGTTGAATTTTTCTGTCATATTCAACCAGCAGCGGAGATATCAAACTGGAAGATGAAGCAGTATATTAGAGAATCCATAAATGTATTTTCCTTTGAATCAATTTTAAAAAGAATTTCTTCTAGATACTTATATTTTTTATGCATGTTGCATTTATTTAAAGCATTTCTGGTGTCATGGTGTTTGCAAAAGAATAATTAATATTAGGTTGAGTCATAAATCTTTTCTGTTTTTGTTAATTAATTTTATTCTTCAAAAAATAATGTACAATTACATTTTATTCAATTATATATTCACCATTATTTGTAGTAACTTGTTGCCACTTATCGGGCAGCCCGTCAATATATTTTGAGTAAAATTATGCAGGTTTTGTACAAAGAATTTTTGACACTCTTGAATCTGGCTTTCAGGAAGTTTTCTCCATCAAAATGTTTTTCAGAAATCAAAAATGTGGGATGAGGTGAATACGGCAGGTAAGGTAGAATAGACCAACTGAGTTTCAAAACTTTTTCATGCATGCAGCCTCATGTTGTCATGGAGGAGACAACACAACTTAAACTATGTTAAAATCTAAAATAGTTAAAACTCATTAAAGAATGGCAGTTACATTATTAAATGTCCTTACCTGAATACATACACTTGAATCACACATGTTTTAGTTTGACTCTAAATGTCTAATCTCTCTGCCTACACTTTGAAATTAAATTTAATTTACTAATTCTTTTTTTTAATATTTTACTTATCATTATTATTATTATCATTAAGTATTTTTTTTTCAAGAGGATTAGGTAGGTTTGCATATTACCCAGTTCACACTCCTTCCCCATCTTATGAACAATAGTAGGGGTTTATCCCTTGATTCCTATTTAGAATTAGGTGTCTGGTTCCTTCTCCCGAGGCCTTAATAAATGTGGCTTTCATATTTTGGTGATATAACTGGCTGGAGGCTATGACTCATTATTTTGAGTGTAACAAGTATGTAGTTTTCTGGTTGCTGCATCTCAACTCATAACAAGGAGACTGAACTCTTTGGTAGCAATTACAGAGGCTGCACATGTTAACAGTCATGGAATATTGGGCTTCCTTGTCACCTACAATCTTCAGAAGTCTAAATGCAATATCAACTTCCACCTTCTGTCTTCCTGAATCCTGTTTTTTTTATTGTCCCTTCTCATCACTAAAGTTTTTGTATTCTCTCCCACTCTCAGTAACTCCTTGGGTCTTAGTGGCATTAACACCTTGCTTGGGATGAAATGATTAAAAAAGAAAAAAAAAAGGAAAATAACACTTCTATTGATGAATGAAAGATACTTTCTGACCTGATTTTTATGAACATGTTTCAGTTGCTGAGTGTATAAATGTGCATTTAGTGTTTCATTGTATTTTAAAAACTCTAAATGAATAATTTCCTGATGATCCCACCACATGCACAACATTACCTTTCTTTCATGGAGCTCAGATTTTGGGGGTCAGTTATGGAGATTTATCCTTGTCAACCCACTGCATTTTACATTGAACATTGTCATATGTAACCCATTGTTTTATCACCTTTTGATATATTTAAGGAACAGTCAGCCAAGATGATACATTCAACATGATAATTGGTTCTCCAAAATGGAAATTATTTATGACTCAACCTGATTATAATGTATTATTAACATGTTTGTGCTAATAATTATTAGCACAAGCATGTTAATAATACATTAACTGCAAACTGATTAACATCACTTAATTATGCTACAAAATAAAAATAAACTTACCTTTCTTCTGTTAACCATGTCATAACTGGTATATGAGGGTCCTATAAAAATTTATATTAGAATGATTATTTTTCAAATGAAGATGACATCAAAATATATTTGAATGATTTTCTCTTTTGTGTTTGTCATCAGCCTTAGCCTTTTCCCATGACACATTTTTTTTATATATTTCAGATAGATTTCTTGCAATTTAAAAAATGAATGCAAATAAATGTGTATTGTAGAGTTAAAATATGAAGTTTTTTAAAGATATTTTACACTAGCTTAAAAAGCTGCCCTATTGGGCAGCAATTAAGCTAGCTCTTGTGGAAGGCTCTTGATTGGGCCTTTGGCTTGTTCAGGAGTTTGAAAACCCTGAAGTTTGCATATTATCAGCATTGGAAGCTCTCCTGACTGCTGTTTGATCTGGATTTTCATTTGCACAGGACTTTCTTTTCCTCGCTGCAGCCTTGGCTCTTTTGATTGCAATCTGGTCCTCTGTTGGTAGAGATTTCTTTTTGGCAAGGCATACTGCTGCTGTATGTGATAGGCAACAATAAACTACAGAAGAACTCAAAATTGATTGCTGCATTTAAGTATTGCATTAATATTTAAGCTTACCATTTAAAAGTTTAATGATAATTCTTCTGTTGCCACTTAATTTGAAGATAATGTCCATACAAACAATTATTTTTATTTCATGGGTAACTTTCACTGGATTTCTTAATTAATTTTGATTATTCCCAAATTTATTTCCAAGTTATAAAAAAATTGTTATATTACAAACAAATTCATTGCAAAAAAATCACATAAAATAAAAAAGATCACTGAAAAAAATTTCAGTAATGAAAACTTGGGAATCCAAAATTTTAAGATTGCAGATCTAGATCTGGCCCAGAATGTTTTTAATTTGCTCACAGAGTTGGCCTGATTCCAAAATGTTATTCTATGTTGGGCTACGGCCTCTAAGAGTAAATTTAAAAAGGTGTGATGCACCAACATTATATAGATACACCAACTGACACTGATATGTAGTTATTAACTGAACTTTGATGTGAAATTTTCACTGTACAAAGTTTGATCTATGTGATTAATATTCACTGCTGAATTAAAGAAAAAGATTATGTTGAAAAATAAATATTTGTTGCATAAAATAAATGCTTTTTTTTCACCATTAAGCCATAGACTTATTGATGCACTTATGTATAAGACTACATTTGAATCATTATAAGGAAAAACCCACTGAATTTAAACAACACAAAATTATTTTGCTCGTATAATTGTAGCATGAAAAATTTCCAATAACTGAACTGATTTAGTTACCTGTAATTAAATAAAGGATTTTAATTACGTATGTTAATGCAAAAAATAGTATATTATGTTACCTTGTTGAAATGATCTTGGCTTTGGTACCAGAATAATTCATTGTTCAATCTTTGGACTAAAAAAGAAAAAAATTCAAAACATATCAAAACATTTCTGTTTAGATTTCTGAGATCAATGATCAAAGCTTTCTTCTTACTGCCAGCCCGTTGGAGAATACCTTTGCCTTTTTAAATAGAAGGTGAAGAGGAACACGTGACCAGTTTTTGGCTTCCTCTTGAAGAGTTCTTCATCTTGAATTTAGTTGTCATGGTGACATTACCTTGACAGGAATCTGAAAATGGGGGGTCGGAGCCTATCGATTATGTGATTTTCATATTGATTGGGGTCATTTAACTATGACTTTAACAGCATTGCAATTTTTTAAAAAAATATTTTAATGTTTCCATATTTAATTTCAAACAGAAACCTTTATTTAATCTATGAGGTAGGTTGTTCTTGTTTTGTTGTCTAGGGATACCTCATCCAGTTCTTATTTAGTAATGCTCAGTTATTGTTTGCTTTCTTACTAGTGTCTAAGTCTGCAAACAAGACAAACAGTAACTGAATAGTACTACTCAGTTATTGCTTAGGACAAGACAAGATATCCCTAGACATGAGCAGTGCAGACTTAGAAACAGATTAAGCAATGACTGAGTAGTACTAAATAAGAACAAGACAAGATATCTCTAGACAAGGAGAGCAGAACAACAACAATCTAACATGGCAGATTAAATGATGTATTCTGTCCCTGGAGGTTGCCCAAATCAACAAACACTCAAAGGCTTTGCTTTCTTCAGTGTCTGTCTCACTTTCCATCTTAGTTCATTCGTCTGATCCTGGATCATGTGAACTCAACAAGATCATCGATACAGTTCACAATGGAGTGAGAAAGCAACAACAAACTCGCCTTCCTGGATGTGCTAATATCTAGGACAGAGCAGCGGTTCAAGACATCTGTATACCACAAGCCAACATTCACCAGACAATACCTCAACTCTGACCATCCATACAGTGTAAAGAAATACAATATCGAGCAAAAGTCATAAGTGGCATCTCAGAAACATATGAACGAGAAATGTTCAGTATAAGCAGTACCCTACAAAGTAACAACTACCCTGGATTCATGGCAACAGCTCCAGCAAACTGGGATAGGAAGATACAAGAGGATAGCAGCACTCATTAAACAGTTTCAGTCTGACTACTCTATGTGAAGGAATTATTGGAGAAAATACAAAGAATCTGTGGTCCATATAACATAAGGACAATCTTCAAAAGTGGTTCAACACTTTGCAGACACCTCTTCCGAGTAAAACCCCCTGTAGAGGAGAACATGACTACGCCATCCCATGCAGCTGTGGTAAGAAAATTTACGCCATCCCATGCAGCTGTGGTAAGAAATACACAAGAGAAACAGGCCACCCGCTTAAGGTAAGACTGCAAGTACATTGTAAAGCAGTAACTCAAGAGGAAATAGAAAAATCAGGTGTAGCTGACCACATATGGAGGCAAAAGGGAGATCACTGCCCCCTGTGGGACGAAGTTGAAATAATAGACAGAGAGCATCACTGGAAAATATGAAAACTTAAGGAATCAACACATATGCTAGGCCACAAAAATCTCCTGAGCCGACCAAGCATAGATATGAATACAATATGGGAACCAATAATAAGGAGTGCAATGAATAACAACAAAAAAATTGCAATATAAGCTCTGGTAAAAAAATTCAATAATAATAATATCAAAAAATTGCAATATGAGTACTGGTAAAAAAAGTGAACAGAAACATTAGGTTTATAAGTCCCAGAAATTCATACACAGATGTCTTCAAGACAAATGGATAAAGATGTTGGTTAGATCCAGTAACTGACTAGTTGTGAGTTCAATACCAGACTTGTAGAGTTAAGTTAAAGGGAAATAACTGAGATATCTGGAAGAGGTATGACACGTGGAACTAGATCAATCTACCCCAGTGAACAAAATAAAGAGTTTGGTTCGAAACTTCAATCACCTGAAGAAGGTCAGAGGAAACAACAGCTGAATGGTCTGAAATATTGTAAATAAACATGATACCTCATCTCAGAGATATAGACAGATACAGCGATTATTCTATTTTTTTTTTAAATCATTTCATTCCAAGCATGGTGATAAAGCTACTAAGATGCAAGAGGTTATGAGAGTGAAGGAAACTGAGAAAATGTTCTTGAAGAGAAAGGACAATAAAGAGAACAGGATTCAAGGAAACAGAAAGTGACAATGTTTCATTTACATTTTTGACAGGAAAGCAAGCAGCTGTAAGAGAGTTCTACAGGTGTGAAATGTGAGAGAAGAAAGCATTAGAATAGAACTTATAGCAATTTCAATAATAAAAGGATGAGACCTAGCTGCCAATCTAGTATTATGCTTAAATTCATGAAGATTCAGCATTTTCCTTTGATAATACGTTACAGTGAATTCTAAAAACTCTACCTAATTTTTTTTTAATCATATCATCATATACAAGGCAGTAAAGCCACTAAGACACAAGAGGTTACTGAATGTGAAAGAATAAGAAAAAAGATAAACATTATTAAGGAGCAAAAACACTAGAAGAGTAATCAAGAAGACTGTAGAAGATAATTGACATTGCATCTAAATTTTTTCAGATAAAATCATAGAGCCAGAAGAGAGTTCTATAAGTGAGAAGTGTGAGAAAAGAAACTGTTAGCATAGAACTTATGGTTACATCTAGCCAATTCAACCGTGAATTGATGAGACCTTGCCGCCAACCTAGTTCTGCACTTAAATCAAGAAGTCTAGGTACTATAGTGAAGATTTAACTATTTTCAGCTATTGTTATTTACTAAACATAGCACAATTTTGGTGCAACATTACAAGTATGTGGCACCCAGTGAAGATTGAACTCACTACTCAGTTGTAATGATTGACTAGATTAACCTCATTAACCATTATCCAACACTAAGGCAGACAAGTATTATCTTCAGTTTATAAATATAAAACAAGCAAAAGGTTTTATTTTCTCTTTCATTCCAATAAAGTTGTGTCTTGCTTATTCTAGAGGTTGGAGGTACCAGGATCATGTCATAAAATATACTGGTTACCTATTCCCTTGAAAGAAATTGTGCTACTAATGGGGTTTAGGCAATTTTTAAAAATTTAATTTATTTTTGAGGATCTACCAGGTGATTAGGAGATGGACCAGAGACTTTTAATGATATACTATTGTTTACACCAGAATGATGAAAATGATCTTCTGAAGGTATGTCATCCTTTATTTATTAACCCAATTAATGGATATCTATTCAGTCTACTTTTCCTGCATTTTTGATGATGATTGATGCGTGTTCAGTGTTTTTATTGAACATTTTTGTTGGTGTTATTATATAAAGAAAATATATGTAGAATATTTTAATTGGTGTTATTGATGATCCTTAACCTAGCCATTTTTGGGGGATGCATTCCATATTTTTTAAAGGACTTTTTATTTTTTTCTCAATAATACTTTATTAGCTATGCACCATATTTGAAAAAAATTTAATCTAAACATGACAAATTACAATGAGTTTTGTTATGATTAATGTTCTGGTATCTTTCCAGCAATCTTAAAAAAAATTTTGATAAATATTTTTCACCAAAAACATTTTTGCGTGGGTTTAAACTGGTTTTTGAGATAATCAACTGTTATATGAATGAACTGCAATGTAATGTTTGATCATTATAGATTTCATGCCTTTTCCTTTTTTGAGTCATATTTTACCCAGAGCTATGTTAATGATCATTACAACAGTGATATAATAACCAAAAAAAAAAAAGCAATTTTCTTCAAAGATGGTCTCTTGTCTATTAATTAGATTTTTGCATGGTAGATCCTCAAAAATACATAAATTGGGAAAAATGCCTGAAAATATATTCATGGGATTAACATCTTTCAAAGAAAATGGTAGCCACTATATTCTAAAGATGACTACAAAAAAATTTGTTTGTACCTTTAACCTCTACTTATTCCTTTTAGCCAAGTTAATGAATATATCACAACCTCATTGATTCTAACAAAATTTATATGTTACATTTCTTGTTTCACTGTTAATTTTAGGTATTTGCTTGTTAATCCAGATGATACTGTAACAGTTAACAAGAAAAAAAGTGGAAGGGAGAAAACAACAAATGGAGATAAGATGTGGTTGAGATAAGTAAAAGGGTTTTTATTTCCATAATCTACAAGATTTGATCATTTGATCATTCCAAAGTATCATATATTAATTGTGAGAGACTGAGTTAATTTGGCATATAACACAAAGTAGTAGTCATGATAGACATGTGGAGAAAATCAACATGCATATGTATTTGAGTGAGATAGACACATTGGAGAAATATTCCATGAAATATTACATTGTAGTAGTTGAGAGTTAATCTCTGCTGTTGCTGGTTTCATCACTGTCTGAAGGTATCACTGTTGATGGAAGCACATTAATGTCACTGCTGTTGGCCTGGTTAAGCTCACCTATTGTGGGGGTCCATTGTAAATGGTTGATTGTATCTTCATGAGTAAAATCAACTTTGACTTTATAACAATTAGTAGGCCAGAAGTGTCTGTTATGAAAACTGTGCTTTTTCTAATAGGTCCGAAAAGATGTTATGACACTAGTATTTTGAATGTTATTCTGGAAGTGAATGCACAGAGCTAGATGAGATTAAGATGTTTTTGTCATATGAGCTCCCATTTGAATTAAAGAATTGAAGTTTCAACAGGGTACAATACCAATATATAAACTTCTTGTAAATTTGCCTTCCAACTGTTTTAAAGACATTTTAAAAGGGTTCCAAAATCAGCTTCTATATTTATTTATTATTTTTAATATCCTGAGGAAAAAAAGATGTTTCTTTATTCTACTGTCATCATCTCTGATAGTGGTTACTGTGAGATGATAGGTGATAAGCTTGTCTTGCAGGGTAGTAAATTTGATCTTCACTGAATATCTCATTACTTTGGCCTTGTACCAGATTAAACAGCATGGAAAAAATAGACTTAGTTGTTTTGTTATTTTTCAATTATTTAAAATATAAACTGTATTTAACATTGAAATCAACACTATATTTCCTCCTTAATTTATTTTCTGGCTTTTTAAATGTGTAGTACACTGTTAGTAGGTTTGTCCCTGGTAACACTAAAAAGTGGTATACCGTGGAGAAAAAAGGTCCCCAAATGGATAAAAAAAAAAACATAACGTGTAAATATTTATGTTAAAATTAAAGAGGGAAGACCAAAGTATTTTTGAATATTTTTCAGATTTTAATCTTTCCTATAAATTTTAAAAAATTTTTTTAAAAATTCGTTTTTCTTGAATAAAAAAAAAATTAGTAAATTCGATTTATCGGACATTTCTGCCCGAGTTTGTAAACAAAAAAAAAAAATCAAACTTAGTTAAAAAATCAATTAAAATTCAGTTACACCTTTTTTTTTTTGTTATCTTAGGAAATTTAGAATGAAAGTACTTAGTAATTTGAATGAAACATTCATTACTTTGTTTTTTTAGTTTACTAAAAAAAACTGATACAGTTTTATATGCAACAAAAATTATTATCAGAAACGTTTATCAAAAATGGTAATAATATTGCCATAATGGAAAAATATTAATATTTTTGTCCATATGCAAGAAAAGTGAACGATTTAACTAAAATAAAAAATAAAAATATTTCTCTTTTTCTTTTTCAGTAAAACATTTTTCAGGTGTCAAACAAAAAGGGAAAAAAGACAATAAAATTAAAATAAATATTTGTGTCTGTTAGTGTTGTGTTATGTATTGAAATCATGGAAAATATTAAACATTTGTTTTTTAACTGCTTTCTTTAATTAATTATTTTTTATTATGTCAATATTTTTTTTATTAAATTTTGTCAAAAAAAAATATAAAAAAAATACGGTGATGCCATGAAATGAAAGTATATTCTTTTGCTTTAAAAGTTGAACCAACACTTTAAGTTTAAAGACTTTAAGAATAAATAAATAAAAATTACACAGCAGTGTGTTTTTGTTTGCATATTTAAAGGAAAACTAGCAACAAGTAACATTTTCCCTAGAGTATGCAAACAAAAACATACCACATCAATTTTAATTTATAAAATCCTTAATAAAATATTCTAGCAAAACTGTTAAATACCAACCTTGGTCCATAAGAAACCGAACATTTTTTGGTTCCATATTTTCGCTAAAATTCTTTAAAAAGGTTGTACAAATAGTAACAAATAGAAACTTTTTTACATACAACGGAGCTGGGCATCTAAAAAGTTAGTAGCCATTGTTATGGCTTTTCACGTTGCCATGATACGGGCAAAAAAGTTATAATCAACTAAATTTGAACACTAATTTATTTTAAAATTATAACTTATTTATTCTTAACGTTTTTAAAAAGTTGGTTCAACTTTTAAAACAAAAGAAAATGTGTTCATGGCATTTTCACCGTATCTGTAAATGCAGTATTTAAACATCAGCGGGAACCATACAAAGGGAAATAACTTTAAAATTCTTCAAATTGCTAAGAATTTGCTTGTAGCATATATTATAAAAATGATTATAATCAGTAAAAGGAAGAAGTGTTAATGAAAATATTTTATATGTGACAAGGAATGTGAAAGAAACATTAAAATGCATCAGTCAGAGACATCATAATGGGCCTTAACGCTTGATGATGGAGATGAGATATTGTTAAAGTGAAAATGTAGATTTATTTACACTTTTGCCTTAAATGATTGGAGTTCATCTCAGGATTCTACTGCATAGGTAGGAGTTGGTTGGTATTGCATTATAGAGAAAGATTACATGAGGAAAATATATCATTGTATGAGCTTTTTCGAATAGTAAGAGTAGAGGTTTCCATTGCATAGTGGCTTTGGATGCTGCTGTTAACATCAGTGTTCTGGCATCTCCATGACTGTCTTTGGTTGTTGGCATCAAATTTCAGTGAGTAGAGTAAAATAATTTTTTCTCTGGGAGGGAATAGGAGGAGAGAGAGCATCTTCTTTCTTATCCGGAACATAAACAAAGATGCATACAAATACAAGACTTGAAATTACTGCCTGAAATTTAAAAGAACAAACATTTATTACAAAACATTTAAACAATATATCAAATTACAATATTTTACCAAACGGGCTTACACAAAAATTTCTTTCTGTGTGCCTTATTATAAACATAAAAACGATCTAAAAAGACTTCAAAACAATCTTTGAAAAATAAAAAAATCTTTGAGGTGTTGTGGGCCGGTGTATGTGTTGAAAGATAAACATATGTGTCTCCTGAAATGCCCACAATAAACATGGTAGACTTGGGATGTGAGTCCATGTAAAGAAATGAGGGTAACAACAAAACTATATATAAATGCAAATGATAAGTATGTATTAACAAAACAATGATATGCATAGACAATAGAATATTGCTGCGTGTTACAAAACAATGAACATGAATGAAGAAAACATTTAAACCAATGAATTGTTTGTGTGTGTGTGTGTGTGTGGTTTGGTGTAGGAAAAAGTCCTAGAGAAAATGAAGTGAAATTGAATACTTAATAAAAGGGGTGGTTAGAATTAGGATGTAACAGGTGGATTTTTCTACAGAAAAGAATACTCATCTTAGCCCACTATTTAAAAGCTCAAAGGTATGATTCAGGAAAAATGAGTGGTACTTTCATTAAGTGTAGCATTTCTTGATCTTAGGATTCAATAATGTATATACAGTTTGGTGAGAAGTACACTGTATATGCATTATTCTTAACCAGCATTTCCCCTTCATGATGGGTGGAATAAGGTATTGGATAATCATGAATCTTCCAGTCAGCCGAAAGATGTAAACTGTGTCTGTAATTTTGTCTACATTAAAAGTGGCAGGGATCTATTTTTATTTAGTTTTTGAAGGGTATGTGTTGTGTTCTTTTGCTTAAAGTATTCTAACCTGAGTCTTCAAAGTGACACAGGTAACAAATTTTATTGTGTTTTCCTTCTGAAGTTTTGTATTCACTCTCTATATTATATATTGTTTTTTTTTTATTTACTGATAGTTCACCCATATGTACATGTGCATTCCCCAATGGGGAGGGTGTTTTCCTCGGTTGACCTACATCTTACCATCATTGAGTGAAAAAGGAAAAAAAGAGGATAACAGAGAATGTCACTGCCTATTTATAGTCCTGAAAGCATCTCCTAGTAGAGGTTTTGAAAATTAGGAAGACGTAACCCGACAAAAGTAATACAAAATTTGAATAAGGCAGAACTTTTTAAAAAGAAAGGAGCACCCATCTAATTGTAAGATGAAAAAAATCACAGGATGAAGAATGCTTTGACCTCTACTATTCTAATCTGTGCAAGCCAAATGTGATTGTAATTCCATGTTGAGGTCTTTTAAAAGACCACAAACACATTACAGCAATTGTTAGCATCATTTATGAGCGATTTTCTTAAAAGCAAATCTAGTAGGCTCCTGAACTCATCTTTTTCCTTTGGTGGCAATGTTCATGATAGGCTTTTTATATAGTATTTTAGATTTTTGCAGGAGTTTACTTTATGGGCTGGATGTGATGCTTGGAGCCCTTGTACAGAAGATGACATTTTAATTTTGGGTTTTGCTTTCCTAATGCTCACATTCAGCTAACATGTAGAGTGAATCAAAAAAAGATCTAATTTGCAGTGGAGTATGTGGTCCAAACAATTAAGCAAGATAACAAATTCTAAAAAAATTCTGCTGGGCTCATAAAAACAGTTATAGTTATTATCAACAAAATGTTTTCTTTGATTCATTTGACTGCTGAAAAGAGTTGAAAAAGATGGTAATTCACAAGTTTTGCTAAGTTATTTTTTTTTTTAGACAACAGTTCAGTTTTGAAAACTGAGGTTAAAAATTGTGATAAATCTTATATTTTCATAAAAAGTTCAAAATCAGAGTTAAAAGCTTTAATTTTGTGACCAAATATCTGGACAACTCCTATCCTGAGCTGTGCAATAAATTCATAAACCTAACTTAAACCCTAAAAATTAATAAGAAACCTTGCACACATGTACATACAAAAAGGACATTTCTATACATACACCTTCATTCACTCTTTTTATATTCTTTCCACTTAATTTGTTCAGGCAATAAAATAGGTTGTTGTTAATTGTACAAAATTATTTGTATATTCATTATTACTCTCTTGTTTGAGGAAGCACTAATGCATCCACATACTATATTACACATTGTTCCAACATTATATGCAAATCTCTAAAAAAATAATTATGAAACTATTGATTGTAGAGTCATCAAATGTTGGCCAAATATAGCTTGTATGTTTATATAGAATATCACAAAATCTATGATCAGATTATAGAATTTCATTTATATTGGAATATACAAAATATTATTTAAACTGATACAATGTATATGCAAATATGTCAAATGAATCAATTTGAAGTAATAGGAAGTTGTCACATGCCTGGTTGGAAAGTTGTGCTAAGTGTACATTAAACAAAAAATCTGCTGCAGATTAATAAAGTTCTTTATGTCTCATTAGGCATAAGAAAGAAGAAATGTATTACTCACACCTAATACTTGATGAATGTTGTTATTGTTGCTTTCCACTTGAATTGTGGTATCGTATGGTAGTTGTGAATAAAAGTAGATGCAAATAAATAACAAGCTTTGTTGTATCAAACAAACAAAGAATGTCAAGAGTGTAATTATGTACATTGTGTTTTGTGAATTTAGTTATACAATGTGTGTTTCATAATGAATGTGTTAATATAATTCACATTTAGAAAAAATTTTAAAGAAACATTGTAATGGCAAAATGTCTTTCTCTCTGACTGCCTCTAGAGTGTGGGTGGACGTGAGTGTGTGTTGAATGTGCACTCTGTCAGATGAGGGTATCCAGTCTGTGGCTCTGTAGTTCTAAAGTTGATTGCTTTTAAATACTGTCAGAGTAGATCAGAAAATGGAATTTTGGTTTTCAGTAGGAACTTGTCTGATTGGTAGACTAAGATTTATTTTATTTGAAGAAAACCAGAAATGGTTACATGGAGCCACCAACTCAGAGATGCATTTTGTCATTTGAGACTTTCATCACTGCAGACACCAGCAGATGTAGGAGGTTAGACAAAATTAATAAAAGAAGGAAAATTATCAAACACAGCAATGATTTATTCAAAGAAATGTTGAAGCAAAGTGTTACAAGTTTTGTTAAATAACACTGGAGAAAAGTAATATTATTTCTCATATAATTTCCATTTTTCTGATGACTTCAAACAGCTTAGTGTCCATAGATGCTAAATTCATAATTTCCTCATAGGTGACAACTTCACAAAGAGTTAATTATATGGGGGTCTCTTGCAAGAGTTTTAGCAATTTCTGCTGATTTTCCTTTATAAAGCATTTCAACAATTACTCAAAAATTCTTGTTGGGCTGATTTGCATATAATGTTAGAATGTACTGTATACTATTCCATCATCAAACATCCTGTCACAAAGAATTCTTCAAAAAATTGAACCATTCCCACAACACTATAAATATTTTTAGAATCTATTTTCATTTTGAGAATTCAGCAGATTTGCTCTTATTCCATGTAATGTCATATATAATCTGATAAGGTTAATCTTATCGTGACACATTGAAAAACTGGGTTACTTTTGAAGTTATTCAAACACAAAATGTTAAACTTATTTTTTTAAAAATTAGCATACATTGAGAATGAAGGCAACAACTCTGAAGATATTCATCTAATTAAAACACCGATTGTTAATAAAGGTTAATTTTTCAGAGAAACAAACAGATTTTTTCTCTACTATAATTTATTTTCACATTTGAAGTATGTAAATTGAGTGCAATCTTTAAATTGTGGTGGGCGGAAGAAGGGAGAGATAATCACGGAAAAAAAAAACTTCCAAATATTTATATCCCTTATCTTTCTTGCTTCATCTCCTCATTTCTATAAAATTGTACAATTCATTAAGAAAGATAGTGAGACACATATTACAAGTAATGTATGAATGACAAAAATGTATTAGATAAATTCGTTATTCATAAAATGACTAGAAACATTCAAATTTGTATACATATGCAACTTGAAAAAAATAAATGACAAAATGCAAAATGCAAAAAGAAGGATTTGGGTCAAGAAATATCATTTAAAATATTTTTTGTATTTCTATTTTTATTATATATTTTTTATGGCAGTGAA